CCAAGCAATTATATTTGTGCAGGCCAAGTGACCCAATTCCAAACAAACTAGAAGACAATAGCTCTGTGTTCAGGAAATTACTCACTTTCTGATTCCTCTCCCACATTATTTTCTATTGCTGTGATCCCAAAGCACATACTGTCACATTAGTCTAGTATCTAATTTGCCAGCATCATCAACTTCATGGTTATGAGTCATGACTTCTGAAACACAAGCCCCAAATTGTCCAACTGGTGTGAAAACAGACCAGTGGTGATGAAGGTCATGGTGAAAGGTCCTGAACTTTCTGCTGAAATTGAAAAGACCATGTTTGAGATGATGACAATGTGGCTGGATGAAGAGTTAATGAAGCACAAGAGTGAGGCATCAGACCCATTTAACCCTACTGCAGTGGTGGCAGAGTTTGAGAAACAGGATGATTCTTTCCAATGAGCAAAAGTTTGACCTCCTTTGGAAGAGGCAGGATGTCCAGTGACCCATCTGAAAAGGTGATTCAGCTACAATGACTCAGATTTAAAGAGGACCAAAACTCTCCTGGAGCAAGAGGAGACATCATGCCTGCCCAGGACATGCTGGGCCACAACGTCCAGCAGCAGAAACCCATTGGACATTGTTGACACACACCATCTCCAGAACTAGAGTTCCAGAGGAGGCATTGGTTAGTACAACATTTTCTTTCTGGAGTCACTCTAAGTGTGGAGGTTTGAAAAGACTCAAGGATGATGAACCACCACTTTTTTTAGGAGAGATATTCTAAAGGAAGTACAGTGAAGTGGAACCCTCTCTGGGTATTTCACATTCATGCAATAATGGGGGACAAGTTACAAAAATTTTGCAAATCTCCATAAGGATCTAAACCCTTCTTACCCAGCAAGTGGCCCTCTGTCAATGTAAACTGCACAGTGGTTGCTTGGGGCCCAGGTTCTGCTGAGGAGGAAGAGGAGGACATGCTGCAACTACCTGGATTCTGGCTTCAGTCACAAGACACAACTCTTGGTTTGAAATCAATATGTCAGACCTAAATATCAAGATAACACTTCTGTTCATCTGTGAATAAGCTGAAGTTTGTGGAGCTACTTTTTCTCATAGCACTTTATTTTGAATGCTGTTGGCTTATGCTGAGAATGATCATTCTTATTTGAGAAAATTATTTGTTTTATAATATCCTTGAGCTACAACTCAGTCTTGAAAAATTGCCATAAAGTTGGTGCCACTTTCTTTTATTCATTCAACTGAATTAATATTGTTGTATTAACATTTTAAGTATGTGTGTTTACCTTAATTCTTTTTGGCATTCCAGAAAAAAAGTAATTCCAAAACATTTATTTTCTAGATAGAACTTTTCCTAGAGATTTTACCAAATAGATAATTTTAGGAGTAAAATTTACAGTGTATGAATCCCACTGGAAAGTCACAAAGTTTCTTAAACTGTTTTTTATAGATACATTTTTAAAGGACTTTTAAAAACGTTGTTTGAAATTTCTTGGTTTTTATTTTTATAAATGTGTCAGAGTTTCAAAGTATATTATTTTTCAAAGCCATTTAGTTTTATTTCAGTGGATAGGCTGTAAAGTGACTGGAAATTTTTATTTTTTTGGTACCAGGGATTGAAACCAAGGTCGCTTAACCACTGAACCACATCCCAGCCATTTTCTATATTTTATTTAAAGACATGGTGTGGCTGAGTTGATTTTGTAGAGGCTGGTTTTGCAATCACATGCCTTCTGCTGCAGACATTTGAACTAATGGGATTGCAGGCATGCACCACTGCTCTGAGATATGACTGGGAGTTTTTCCTTGTAAAAAGTGGGCTTGTCCTTTTTCGGGCTTCCAGGTGGCCTTTCCAGCCTTGGCTGTCACAGGAGGCAGGAGCAAGTCTCAACACACCAGGCTTATTCCCACTCTCCTAAGTTGCTGTTGAGCCAAATCACATCTTACAAGAGAAGGGGGATCAGAAGAGGGCAGTGTGGGAAATTGGTAAGGAACTTGCCTGTGTCCCTCCAGGGACTCTATAGAAAGTATAGTCTAGTCGTGCCAGCTAGTTGTGCCAGCCCTGCTCTCTCTAGACTCCACAGCCATTCTGTAAAGGTGACACACCCAGAATCAGCCAGGGCTGTTGCAGCATGGTTGTGCTAATACACCATCCACACAGACAATGTCCTGGCACATGCCTCATACTCCCAAATTTGCAGTTCCATAGGCCCACTTGTCTCAGGCCACCGTCTTTGGCTGCTTTTTTGCTATGAGAATTATAATTTTTAAGTTGAATTGCACCCCAGGTTGAATTAATCCTAACTGGCTTCAGACAAGGGTGACATGACTGTCTAAACTTGTTTCTTGCACATCAACTATCACTGAGTCCTTGAACCCATAACTTTATTGAAATTAAATTAATATGTGGGAGTATCATAATCCAAGCCACAGAAAAAGGACACCAGCTTCTTCACTAAAATTGATATTAATCAGACAAATTTCAAACTAACAAAGGTATTATTCAGTTTTCAAGATTGAATTTCTGGGAAAGCAAGACTACTTTAAAATGAATAAAATTTCTCCAACTCCTTCATTTCTGAATTATAGGTCTAGAACTTCAGAAAATACTTTAGTAATTATGAGTCTTACTAACTCTTAGGAAATCATATCCACTGGCAACTAACAAACTCGCTAGACCACGCAGAAATGTCTCATTTTTCAAGTACCCAGCCTAGTAAAGAAGGATAGGAACAGTTGCATTTTATCCAGACGTACATTAGTTTATTGCCCCCACCCCCCAACAAAAAAATGCTTGTCCTTGATTCCATCAACCTCAAGTGGGCAAGTGACATCACAGAGCTTTTTCTCAGCTGGCTTTCTTTTTCTTTCTTTCTTTTTTTTTTTTTTACCAAAAATAAAACCAGGTGTTTGCTTTGTGTCCAAAATACTTGTTTCAAATTATAGAATAGTCATGATTTGACCACAGCACTGTACATGTGAGAATCAAAGTACATTAGCTTGAAAGGGGATATGATCAGTCTATATACAAGTATTGTGTTTATTTGAATAAAAGTGAAAAGAACAACCCCAAAATAAAACAAAATACAGACCTATAAAAGAGACTAATATGTTTAGACATAGTTTATTATTGCTGAGAGTTGCTATTGCTCTTTCCTAAAATGGCTGTAAGTGTATATCTAATGAGGTCCAACAAAGTTCAAAGTAAGGCCTTTGAACTTTCTAATATAGCTAAATGATTCCCAATTCTGAATTACAGAATTGCATGGAAAGTTTTTGAAAAAAATAGCTGTACATATGGTTCATAAATTTCAGAATTATTTTATTTTATTTTTTATTTATATATGATAGCGGAATGCATTACAATTTTTATTACACATTATATTACTCTCACAATTTTTCATATCTCTGATTGTATACAAAGTATATTCACACCAATTCATGTCTTCATAAATGTACTTTGGATAATAATAATCATCACATTCCACTTTTAAAGTAACTTTATATTATGTTAGGAAAATACATTTTATTTTTAAATAAAATATTCAAGTTATAGAAGTAAATAAAATGAGATTCAGGCAGTCAAAGGTCAAATGCTTTCTCTCATATGGTAAAACTAGAGAGAAATAAAATTCAAAATGGGGGATCCATGACAATAGAAGAGAGTTCAGTGGAGGAGTAGAAGAGAATTGAGGGGAATATTGGAGGCACATGAAATGTGAGGAACTGCAGGATCAAATTGACCAAATTATGCTAAGTATATATATATATATATATATATATATATATATATATATATATATATATATATATAAATACTCTAGAGTGAATTTAATCTTATAGAAAGAAAGAAAGAAAGAAAACAACAAAATATAAGGGAGAATAGTAGAGACAGGGGATCAGGAGAAGGGAGGAGAGGAGGGAGACTGCAAGTACTGTGGATGATAATAGAGCAAACTATATTAAGTGCAAATGTGAATATGTCAAGATAAATCACAGTATTATGTATAACTATAATGCATTAACAAAAACAGAAGGGGCGGGGGCAGTAGCTCAGTGGCAGAGCACTGGCCTACCATGTGTGAGGCACTGGGTTTGATTCTTATTACCACATAAAAATAAATCAATAAAATAAAGCAATGCTGTCCATCTAAAACTACAAAAATTTTATAAAAAATAAAAACAAAAAAAATCATTAAGGAAAAGAAAGACATCACAAAAATGAGTAAATAAAATCTTGGTTTAAACTTATTCAGTTAGAATGGAGATGTGGAAACATTCATTTATTTGCAAGCAAATAAGCGAATTTTGGAAAATTTGCTATAGATGACAATAAGTCTCCAGCATAGAGAATTTCAGAGTTTGGCTTGCTTACTCAGTCCTTTCCAACTCAAATAAATATGTGAGGGTGGTCTGGGATGGGAATAATTCACAGTAAATACAGCCACTTAAGAAATATTTTGCAATTCTGGTGGTTATAATTATTGGCTGTTTAAACAAAGACAACCGGAGAAAGAAGTAGAGAGTAAGGAAAAGTGATATAAAACAATGGTATTTAATGATAATAGTGCAATTTTATGGAGAAACATGAGACTTAGAGAGTTGTGGAATAACAAGAAAGGAGAAGAAACCATTGGAGTAAAAGTCTAATAGGCAATAGTAGAATCTAGTTATTGATATTTTATAAAAATCATGAAGAATTAAAAGAAACATAGCAATTTCCCATCCACCTGATACTCCCCAATCACTAAATGTAGGTTTTAGTCAGCATGAATGGGATGTTTTTGAATATTAAGATAGGTGTTTATTAAGTTAATTTTCATAAGACCAAGTTCTTAGTTCAGGACTGTATTCCAGTTTTATACTGTTCAAGAGAAAATAAACTTCTGTTCATCTAAAAGATCAAGTGTGTAGTGTGGGGGATCCTATGTGAGATCCATTAATTTTGAACATTCAATTTTCAGAGGGTGCTGGTGGTGAATGCATTCAAATAGAGAATGACACTGGTATTTGAGGCTCAGAGTATTTATTGCAAATGAGAAACTTTCCAGTAATGAATGTAGAAACTTTCTAGTAATGAAGAAGACAGAACTCTCTTTTATCAGGAAACAATATTATAAGGAGTTATCTGCAGACTTGGTTACACAAAATACAAAACACAACAAAACACCACTACAAGGTGTTAGACTCAACATCATCATATCCAGGGTCTTCTTTTCTCAGGACAAATAAGGATGCTGTCTCTTCCATGTTAGAATTGTCAGCTTCTTTGAGAGACTGAGGAGAGATGCCTGGAACAGTAAGAGAATCCTGATTTTAGTGGTGACAAATATGACAGTCCAGAGTCCTCTTGCAACATGAAAAGACTAGTAGAGTGGCTAGAAAATATCTATGGGGAACCAGTACTTTTGTGGAAGGGTTAATAGAGTTATATCACATTGACTATGTCCTATGCATAAGTCTTGATTTGAACAATTAGAAGGAGAATGAGTTAAAAATAGTGAGGAGTGGCAAAGAGATGCAAGTGCTTTCTTGCACACCAGGCTGGTCTGATTCCTTAAGCACTCCAGGCAGAAGATGACCTCTCACAATTCCTCCATACCTCAATAAAATACCACACTTTCTTTCACAGTATTCATGACAACAGCTTGGGTCCAGATGCCAAAGAAGGGCAGCTTAACTAAATTCAATAGTTTCCTTTTCCCAGGGACCACATGACCATGCACAAGTGGAAAGCCCACTTCTAAAATATGACACTATATGTTATTTCAAACAATAAGAGAATTATTCCTTCTAGCATGGGAAATTTCAATATCTCTATTTATGGATATTGTACATTATGGATTAAAGTGGGAAATGTTAATGAAAATAATTGGTTATGTGTTTCATTAAAAATAAATTTTCAGCAATGCAAGGTTGGTCAGCACATGTGAATCAATAAATGCAATATATCACATAAATAGAATTCAGAACATAAGTTATATAATCAACTCAATAGATGCAGAAAACAATTCATCAACAAACTTTAGCATCCATTCATGTTAAAAATCTCTGAAGACACTAGGGATAGAAGAAAATTATCTCACTCTTATAAAGGCTATACATGACAAACCCAACATCACATCAAAATGAATGGTGAGAAAATAAAAGCATTTCCTCTAAAATCTAGAGTAGGGTAAGGATTCATAACCTTACTATTCCTATTCAATATAATTCTTGTAATATATAGGTATATCAATTAGAGAGGAGGAGAAAATTGAATGGATATAATGAGAAAAAATTCAAATTATCTCTATTTGCAGATAAATGATTCTATACATAGAATCTCTTTCAGAAGAGTTTTAGTGTGGATTAATAAATACAGAAAAGTAGAAGGATACAGGATCAACATACAAAAATTAAAAGTTTTACTATATGCCAATAATAAAACCAACCAAAAAAATGAAGGAAAATATTCCATTGAAAACAACCTGAAACAAAGAAACGAACAATAACAACAACAACAACAACAACAACAAAAAATGAAAATAAACCTAGCTAAGAAGTTGAAAGATCTCTAATAAAATAAAACTATAGAACACTGAAGAACGAATTTAAAGAAGACTATAGAAGATGGAAAGGCATCTGTTGTTCTTCAATAAGCAGATTTAATATTGATAAAATAATTATACAATCAAAAGCAATCTATAGTTTCAATCAGTCCCAATCAAAATATCAATGACTTTCTTCACAGAAATGGAAAAATCAGTCCTAAAATTCATATGGAAGAATAAAAGATCCAGAGTAACCAAAGGAATACCGAGAAAGAGGAACAAGGCTGGGGCAACAAAATTCCCATGCTCAAATCATGCTGCAGAGCTCCACTAACAAAAATAAAATGGCATTTTTATGAAAACCAACATGAAAGTCAATGGACTAAAAGTCACAGAGATAAACCCAGACAGATATAGTCATCTGATGCTTGACAAAATCAGTAAAAACATACATTGAAGAAAAAAATGGATGTTATGATTTGGATGTGATATGTCTTCCAAAAGCTCATGTGTGAGAAAATGCAAGAGGAGAAACAATTGGATTGTAAGAGCCTTAATTCAATTTTTGCATTATTCCCCTGATGAGGATTAAACGCCTGGTAATTGAAGGCTGGTGGGTTGTGGGTTGAGGGAGTGGGTCCCTGAAGGCATGGCCTTGGGTATATATTGTGTATCTGGAGAGTGGAGTCTGTCTCTTCTTCCTGATCACCATGCAGGCTGCTTCCTTCTGCCACACTCTTCCACCATGATGTTCAGCCACACCTTGAGCTTCAATGAATGGAGCCTACTGTTTATAAATAGATACCTTTGAGATCTTGAGCCCCTGCATAAATCTTTTCTCCTCTACAATTGTACTGGTTGGGTCTTTTAGTCAAAGAAGTGAAAAAGCTGACTAAAGGAAGGGCAGCAGAATAAAATAGACATTATTATTGCTGTATGTATATACGTGACTGTATGACCAATGGGATTCTGCAACCTGTACAATCAGAAAAATGAGAAATTATACCCCATTTGATTCAAATGTATGAAATGTCAAGATCATTGTAAAAAATAAAAATAAAACATTGATATAAGGTAAAAGAAAACCTGACTAAATAGACTTTTTAACAAATGGGAAAACACTAGGAAAACAAGATATCCATATGTAGAAGAATGAAAGGAGCTCCCTCTGTCTCACCTGCATAAACATCAACTAAAATGGATCAGAGGCCTAGTAATTAGACACGAATGTTTACAATTGCTAGAAGAAAACATAGGGCCAACTCTCCAATACACAGGCACAAACAGTGTTTTTTTTTTTTAAAGAGAGAGAGAGAGAGAGAGAGAGAGAGAGAGAGAATTTTAATATTTATTTTTTGGTTTTTGGCAGACACAACATCTTTGTTTGTATGTGGTGCTGAGGATCAAACCCGGGCCCAACACATGCCAGGCGACCTCGCTACCATTTGAGCCACATCCCCAGCCCACAAACAGTGTTTAATAAAACTCCCAAAGCTCAAGAAATGAAACCAAGACTCAATTGGGGCAGCTTCAAATTTAAAAACTTCAAACAGCAAAGGAAACAAGATGTTGAAAAGAGAGCCTGAAGAATGGGAGAAACTCTTGCCACTTATTCTTCTGACAGAGAATTCATATCCAGAATATGTAAAATCAAAATAACTCAAATAACCCAGTCAGTCAATGGGCAAGTGATCTAAACAGATACTTCACAGAAGATGACATGAAAATGGCCAAGAAATATATGAAAAAATTGTTCAACATTCTTAACAATAAAGGAAATGAAATAAAAGTGAGGTTTTATCTCACCCCAGTTAGAAAGATAAGATTCAGGATAAATAATAATCATTGCCTTGTTTTAGGTTATTGTGAACTGAATAGTTTTCCTGATTTTAGTCTCAGCAGATTCATTATTGGAATATTGAAAAGGTATTGATTTTTTTAAAAAAAAATATATTTATTTTTTTTAGTTGTGGTTGGACACAATACCTTTATTTTATCTGTTTATTTTTATGTGATGCTGAGATTGAACCCTGGTTCTTGAATGGGCTATGCAAGTGCACTACCACTGAGGCACAACCCCAGCCTGAAAAGGTATCAATTTTTGAATGCTGATTTTGTATTCTACTTTCCTGAATTTGTATATAAGTTTTAGAATTCTTCTGATGGATGTGTTTGAATATACTACATACAGGATCCTTTCTTCAGGAAACAGATAATCTGACCTCTTCATATTTGTATTTCTTTAATTTCTTCTCTTGTCTGATTGCTCTGATTTTAGTTTCAACAACTATATTGACTAGGAGTGGTGAGAGTGAACATCCTTTCCTGTTCATGATTTCAGAGAAAATATTTTTAGTTTTTCTTCATTCAATGGGAAGTTGGCTTTGCATTTGCTATACATAACCTTTAAATGCTGAGGTAGCTTCTTTCTATCCCTAATTTCTTCAGAAGTTTTAACATTAATGGGAGCTAAAATTTATCAACTGCTTTTTTCTTTATCTATTTAACTGATCATGTGATTCTTATCCTTAGATGTATTTTTTTTTGGTGAATTAAACTTATTGATTTGCATATGTTGAACTACCCTTGCATCCCACTCACATGAAACCCACTTTTCATTCCATACTATCTTGTTCAAGTGTCTTTGAATATGCTTTAATAATATTTTACTGAAAATTTTTGTGTCTGCTTCATTCAGGGACATTGGTCTGTAGTTTTTCTTCTTTGATGTGTCTTTGTATTCTTTTGGTATAAGAGTAATACTGGCTGTATAGAATAAATTTGGAAGTGTTTTCTCCTTTTCTATTTCATGGAATAATTTGAGAAAGATGGGTAAAATTTCTTTCTTAATAGTTTGATAGGACTTCTCTTTGTTGGAGGACTTCCTATTGCTGCTTCAGTATCATTGCTTGATATGGTCCGTTTAGGTTTTCTATATTCTGCTGGTTTGATTTCTACCTAGAAATTGGTTAATATCTCATAGATTTTATAGTTTAGTACAAATTTTCAAAATAGTTCCTAATGAGCCTCTGGACTTCTGAAAATTTTTTACATCTCTAATTTTGTTGATTTGGGTCTTCTCTCTCTTTTGGTTATTTTAGCTAAGGAGAGAGCTGTACTATCAAAAACAGCGTGGTACTGGCATCAAAACAGACATGAAGACAAATGCAATGGAATAAAAAACACAGAATAAGCTCAAATCGATATTTCATCTGATACTTGACAAAGGAACAAAAAACTTACGTTGCAGAAAAGAACCTTTTTTTAAAAAAAAATGGTGCTTGGAAAACATCTCAAAAAGTTAATACCTAAGAAGCACTTAATCTAATTTATCAATGGACAAGTCAAGCTAAACAGGTATTTTTCAAAAGAAGTAATACAAATGACCAAGAAATATATGAAAAGCTGCTTAACATCTATACCAATCAAGGGAATGCAGATCAAAACTAAATTTTTATGTCATCTGGTCCCTGTTAGAATGGAAATCATCAAGGATATATATATATATAATGCTGGAGTGGATGTGGGGAAAAGTACTCATTCATTTTGGGTGGCACTGCAAATTAGTACAGCCACTTTGGAAAACAGTATAAAAAGTTCTCAAAAGAGTAGGAATAAAACAACTTCATGACTATGTGACTCCTTGGTTTTATCCAAAGAACTAAGCTAAGCATATTGGAGTGATATTAGCATATCAGTGTTGAGGGAAGCACAATTTACAATAGCTAAGTTATGAAAACAGCCTGGGTGCCTATCAGCTGATGAATGCATATAGAGAATGTGGGAAAATTTTACTCAGCCATAAAAGAGAATTAAATTATGGTATTCCCATATAAATGGCTGGAACTGGAGAACATCATACTAGGTAAATTATACCAAACTCAGAAAGTCAAAAATTGAATTTCCTCTCTTATATGCAGAAGTTGGGGCAAAATAAGGCATGAAGGGGAAGAAAGGGGTAGAATTCTGGATTAACAATGACTTATGAAAGAAAAAGAGAGATCAGTGGAAGAGAGTAATGGGGTTGATGCGAAGGGAGAAAGAATGAGAAAAAGGAGGAACTGTAGAATGAAATCGACCAAATTATGTTAAAGATAAATATACCATGTTAAAGTATATGTGCGTGTGTATGTATATATAATTGTAGATATATAAAACTAATTTATTAAAAAACTATAAATTAACAGAAAGGAAGTAGAGGACGGGGAGCAGAAGAAGGGAGAAGAAAAAAGTGGAACACGGGAATTAAAATGGAGAAAACTTTATTTTGTGGGTGTATAAATAGTTCAAGATGAACACTTCTATTATGGAGAAATATAATGCACTGATAAAAATTTAAGAATTCAGTAAATAAATGTTGAAGAGGAGGTGGGGATAAAGAAATACACACACATGGTGAGATAGCAAATTAGTATGACAACTTTGGAAAGCAGTATGAAGATTGTTTAGAAGAGTAGGAATGCAGCTACCATATGACCCTGCTATTCCACTTGTTGATATGTATCAAAAGAGTTGAAATCAGCATAAGACTGTGATACAGGTATATCAGTGTTTATAATAGCTGAGTTTATAGTGACCTAGTAATGGAGTCAGCTTAGGTGTCTCTTAATGAATGAATGAATAAAAAATTACACACATATACACACACAATACCCACAAACACACATAACAGACTTATATTCAGTCATAAAGAAAAATTAAATTATATCATTTGCTGGTAAATAGGTGGAACTGGAGAAAATCATGCTAAGTGAAATAACCAGATTCAGGATGATAAGAGTTGAAACTTATCTCTTATATGCAGAAGCTACATAGAAGTAAGAAATAAAAAGAGGAGATATTATGAAAATAGATAACAATGGATTAGAAGTGGGTCGAGGGGAGACATGACAGGGAGAAATGGAGAGGATCTCTGAAATGAAATTCTCCATATTATGCTCTCTGTGTGCTTGAATATATCATGATGAATTTTACTTTTATGTATGAATGTAATGTTCTTACTACAAAAACAATAAATACATAGAAGGCAGACCTGTTGATTAAGAGACGGTAATCAGGGGGAAGGAAAAGGGAAAGAGGAAGCATTAGACATTTAAATGGAGCAAATTATGCTATATGTATTTATGAATAATCAAAATTAATTCCACTATTATGAATAATTATATTGCACTAATAAAAACACTAAAATGCTCTCCAAATTACTTCTCACATGTTTAAAGACAAGAATACTTGATGTTCAAACAGAGGTCTTGGTTTGCTTTGTGAAGAGTGTAACAAAGCCACAAAGTCTCTGTAGATCATACAGACATGTCTCTATCCCAAGAACAGTATGTGCAGACAGAGGACACAGTATTTACCTCCTTTCAGAAGAAATAAAATAGCTTCAATAAACAGAAAAAGGGAATAGATGACATCATCTTGGTTTACAAGGCAACTTAGAATCTTGTAGTAAAGGAAAACTGATCATTGATATGTCCAATCCGTCTTTACCATGATAATAATGAAAGACCACTGGAGACAGTTATCCACTTACCTGTATGAGAACACCTGGAACCACCTCCCTCTTCTGAGAAAAAATTCTTCTCCCTCATTACAAATGAAGAAGGATTTTCAGGAACAGGTATCTCTTCAACATCATCATAACCACTGCTTGTGGCAACTGCATGCTGTCCTCCAGGTTCTGAAAATGGGGAATAAGGAGGAAGTGGAAGATATTTGTTAGTCTTGGTGATGTCTTCAATCTGTTCTAATGAAGAGATTCTATGAGATTCTCATAGCTGAGAAATATAGGTATCATATTCCAGGGCTGTCCCAAAGGCATATATTTGATGTCCATATTCTTAGATCATGTAAATCATCTAAATATTTCAATGTATGAAATTCAAGAATATTTTATTAACATGTCATGCCAAAAAACATCAATAAAACTTATGTTGTAAGTTTTGAGAGAGAGAGAGAGAGAGAGAGAGAGAGAGAGAGAATTTTTTTAATATTTATTTTTCAGTTCCCAGCGGACACAACATCTTTGTTTGTATGTGGTGCTGAGGATTGAACCCGGGCCGCACACATGCGAGGCGAGGCGCTACCTCTTGAGCCATATCCCCAGCCCCTATGTTGTAAGTTTAATGTACTCTTTTCAGGCATATAATAAAGGGTTGGAAAATATGTACATATCAGAGATTGAGGGTGATTTCATCAAGCCCAAGGAGAACCCAGGCTGTTCATATGGCCTCTGAGGCGAGGGAGACACAGAAGAGAAGCCTGTCTTTCTCTCTCCCACAGATAGGCTATTCTACCAATTTGAATCCCAGGAGGCATGGGTTTCAACCTCCTGTAGTGCTTTGCTGTCCTGAAGATTTAATTTTAAAGAGCACTCCTGGACATGCCTCATCCTAGGAACTCTCCATTTCTACCACTTGGGGAAGGTCCATGATGTGCTCCTTTCTCAGGTCATTTTTAGAGAAGCTCCTCCAATGATTGATAAGTACAGGCATCACACACACTCCTTGTGTTCTAGTAATTATGAAGGTCATTTTTTTGTCTTAGTATTCAATAAACCACAAAATAGTCCATACATCCCTGTATTTCAGGTCTAATCCATATGTTCTCTTTCACCATAGAATTTGTGAGATAATCAAGTTCAAATGTTCTTTTTAAAGTTATGGCCTTGGATTTTAAAATGATATATTTGAGGTATGTCTGTGGCCATATGGAAGTATCTATGGAAATCAACAGATTAGAATCTCATCTTTCCCTTTCTATAAGACAGAGTGGGTGGAGAGAAAAAATAGCTGTGAACCTGAAGGAAGAGATCCTTCCCATCCTAATCATAGAAAGGTCTTCTCAGATGGTAACCTCCTCCTCACCCCCACCATCCAGGGGAAGACTTGTCTCTACTACCTGGGGCAGGTTCAGGGTCTCCATTCTCCTCATTGTCCCCTGTGTAATAGGGTAGCATAGTTGCTGAGCCATCATCGGATATGGTTCCTAGTAGGGAGAAAACATCATAGACAAACACAGGAGGAGGTCCAATGTCAGCGTTCAGAAAATATTTTGAAGCTTTATACTTGTAGAGAGAAGGCTTAGAGCTCCTGCCTTAGAAGGATGCTGATAATTGTTACAGTGGTCCAGGAATATTCCTAAAAATTCTTGTTCTAAATGGTTTGTCCTCAGGTTGGTGGTATTTGAAAAGGTAGAACCTTTAAGGTGTGAGAACAAGTGGTAGAAATGAAGTTGTTGGGTGCATCCTCTTGAAAAGAATTGTAGGATGCTAATCTCATCTTCTTTCTCTTAATATTCTGGTCACTGTGAGGTGAGGATCTTTGCTCCACTACATGCTCCCAGCATGATAGGCTGCCTTACATGGGCCAAAAGCAGTAAAATATCTGAAAATGGAAGCCAAATCAAACTTTCTTCTTTATAATTTATTATCTCAGGCATTTTATTTCAGTAATAGAAAGCTACCAAATATGCCATGTGAGGTTGGGTTAGTCATGTGATCTTTGCTTATTGAAGATTCCCACACTGATAGCAAACTCATGCAAACAAAGGAGGCTATGGAACACACCTGGGCTGTTCAGCAGGCTCTCCTTCTCTGGATTTATGGGGTAATCTATCTCCTGGTACAGGACCTCATCAACAGCATCTTCAAAAGTGGATAAGGCTATGGAAAGCAGAATGAGTTCAGACATTGCTCCTGGAAGTCTTTCCATTACCAACAGACCATGGGATAGAACTAGATTTCTGTCCACACCCGGATCTTAAAACCAGTCTCCACTAGCACTGCCCACATGGGAAATCATCCTATTTGAGGGCTCCCTTTTTTAACCCAGGATGAATTCATGCCTTTTAAGTCTCCAATCCATGGTAGAGAAGGTAGTTTTTCATATAATGAGAACAAGACTAAAATGTGTACTTAAAAAAAATTGGCCCAATATTCTCGTGCATATTTTCAGGTCACAGAATTCCCAAGTCCCACCTTGGCGCTGTACTCTCCATCTGAGCAGCTGAGTTACCAGGATGATGAGAACAAGAAAGAGAAGGGCTCCCAGGATCATGCAGAGGATCCCAGGTAAGGAGAAGATGCCAGGGACAGGAGCTGAGGCTGAACTGGTGCCTGAAGAAGAAAAAGAGAGATGAGTCTTTAGAGAAGACCATAAGCTCAGAAGAAACCAATTATCACTTGAGTCCTCAGGACCATGAAGTCTCTAGTTCAGACATTATATATCATAAATCTCAGGATATTACCACCCTAGATCCTGCTCTGGGCTGTGTCAACACTCTTCTGAGTCTGGTTTTAAGGGATTTCTATAAATTTAATGCAGGTGAGGCAGTGGAGCTCCCTGAGTGTTACCATTTAACACAAATGATGGCTTCTTCTAACACCTGATCATCAGGCCTACTATAATATGACCGGAGCTGTGTAGACTCCATATTGCAGAACTCTGAAAATCTGCTTATCTCCTCCATTACTGGGTTTAGAATAAATTTTTTTTAAAAAGCAAACAAACAAAAAACCAGTTACTTCTCCTGGTGGGGTGAGCTGTTGTCCTTTCACCTGGGGAGAAGAAAAGGAAAATAGAATCACTGCACTGTTTTGGTCTGGGAATGTCTCTGGGTCCCACCCCCAACCATTGGCACAAAGTTCTGTCCCAGATGCCAGGAGATTGGGCACAGCCTTCCAGAGCCAGGGCTCAGGGTAGCAGGACAGCCTGGGAAGCCCTTTGGATGCAAACACACTCCTTCAACTCTAGGCCCCCCACCTGGTCCTGCTACTCACCAGAGCACCTCACACCAGCGTCCTCCTCATGCTTGCAGTCACTCTGTCCCCAGGGTGCTGCAGCACAGGCCTGCAGGGAGGGCTCCCTGCCCCTGCACTGCACCTCATCCAGCCAGATGCTTCCATTTCCAGGGCCAAATGCAGCCTCCCCTGGGGCTTCCAGGGCAGAGCCACAGCCCAGCTGCTGACACACCACCTCAGCCTCTGCCAGGCTCCAGGAGTCATCACACACAGTGCCCCAGGTGCCTTCATGCCAAACCTCCACTCGCCCTGAGCACTCGCTGTCTCCTCCCCTGAGTCGGAGCTTCTCTTTGTCTGAAAAGGCAGCAGCACCTCCTCTTACTCCCTGGTGGGAGGAAAGGAGCCCCTGGAAGCCATGGGGAAGGTGGGAGGGGATGAGGTACCTGTGCAGGGTGCATTGGCTGGACAGCTCTTGGGTCTGTTTCCTGTAGGAGCAGACAGTGGGGGAAGCACTAGTAAGTGACAGCTGGGGAGATCCTGCCCCCAGATAAGTCTCTCTAATGTCCTAGGCTCAGTTCAGGTAACAGGTGGAGATAAGGTACTTCAGAAGTAGTCTATTAGACTGGGTTACTGAGACATTCATTCTCTATAGCATATTCCTATCAGCAGCTAAAATTATTTTTATCAATTTACCTGTTTTAAATGCCTACTATGTGAAAAAAAATACAAACATGATAATGCACATGCTCATGTATGTACAGGAAAACACACTCAGACACTTTACCCTGAAAGAAAACTCCTCTAGAAAGGGCCCTAGCTTCATTCCCTGTATTCCTGCTAATAGGCAATGCCTGGCATGTTGAGTGCATTCCTTAAAAGTATGTAGGGGTGACTTTCTACAAATGCTATGAACAGTGGTTTGGTAAATATTTAATGATTAAATATATAAATGAGCAAGATCCGCTGAAAAAGAGTTTTTAATTCTTTCAAATCCTAAAGGCAATAAAAGAAATGTAAATTAATGTCAGTGTTTTTTGGTAATAAATATTAGGCATTTAAAACATAAGTACTGAATAATCCTCAAAATAAATTGTACTCAATATCTCTCATATTGTTAATGAAAAATTACAAACATTGAAAGTATTCATTTAAATTAATTGAAACTATTATTTTCAATAAATTAAAATGTTTTTTACATAAATTATGCAAGCAGATATCAGAAAAAAGTTAATAAGTAAACAATAGTTAGCTGGAAAGAGAAATATTTTCATGGAAAGATAATACACTGAGGAAAATTAATACATGAAAGGACATAGAGATAACATAGAACGAAGCAAAAAAAAAAGAATACATATAAATGCAAATTAACATGGACAAAACACACATTCCACTTGTCCTACAACACCTTCATGGATATACATTATTCCCATTATTCTGTCAACCTCCTACACTAAACTGAGAACATCTCTAGATGATGGCAGGATCTGTTTTGTGTGGTTGCTCACTTCAGGATTGGGTGTCTATTTCTCAATATGTGGAGTCTATTGTAAGAAAAAAACATCATCGGTACCTAATCTTATTATTTATTATCACTTTAGACTCTACAGGAAAAAGAAGAAAATAAGGCGAGGAAAGGAAGAAAAAGGAAAAGAGTAAAAAAAAAATTCTTTTGAAATGTTTACCATCATTTATTTTCTCATCCTTCCTGGATTTTAGGAAGTTCCTAGCATAGGTTTGTGGGCTTTGTTCCTTTTTTGATTTTTGAGATTCTGTATGTTCTTTGACTTTAGTTTAATGGTCAAGTTATAAAAAAATCCCAGTGTATTCTATGAAGATATGAAATACTGTTTGAAAACAATTGCTCGTACAAAGCAATATGATGATATCTGTTTAAAAAATAGATATCCTGTGATCTTGCAACCATTGGCAGTCATCTTGTAGTAATAACCTACTAGTATGTAGTGTTATATGTGCAAGGATATTTATTACAATATTGTTTTTAGAAGGGAAAAATTAAAAAAATATATAAATAAATAGCAAAAATGATTATGCAAACTCTACTACTTATCTCTTAAGAATGTAACATTATGAAGTTGTTTTACAAAGGAGTGAGCACTACTTATGGAACTTCCTTAATATATTGTTAAGAAAGCCAATGTAACAATAGTAAGTATGATACAAGCCCAACATTGTAAAACCAAATAAAAAGATACCATAAGATAAATGCTATTATCACTATATTAGTTTAGGTAAAATTCCATGAAAATGGAGAATTGGGAAAAGAGTAACTACCAGTCCATTAATTCTATTTACATCAGGGGAATATGAATAGAAATGTGGCTATGCAATGTCACTAATGTACCTTTTATATTTTAATAAGTCTTCCTTGATTTCAATGAGTAATTAGGGTTTTGGTAATTCAGTGTAATAGAAAACATATCAATTAATTCTACACCAAAAATAAACTAGAATGAAGAATGTCAATCCCCTAGTGTCAAATACTTGCCAATCATGTGAAGAGAGCAAAAAATATTACACAGCATAAGAGAAGGTGGGGTGGACATCCCTTTATGCCTCCAGTGCTCTTTGCCCTGAGAGACAACATTACTCATTCCCTTGGGTTCCTCGCATGGTGAGGTTCTTTAGAGTTACTTAGACTTAGAGTGAATCCAAACCCAACCAGTCATAATCTGCACCCCTGAGTCACATCCTTGACCCTGAAGTGGCTCACAGTCTCCTCCCTCTTCCATGGGGAAGTCCTTCAAAGTCTGAGAAAATCAATGTGTTCACTCTTCCTGGCATTTCTGCAAATTAAGGTAATTACAAACTGCTGAGCCATGTTTTCAAGTTGTTTCTGCATTTGGGAGCCACAGAGAAATTTGACAGTGTCACTTCTAAAGGCAGCTCACCTGTGACACAGCAACATATTAATCAACTTGGTAATCAAATGAGCATATTTCCAGCATTATATAGACATTATGATATGGAAGACAAAGATCTCTGAAGATTCTTGGAAGAGTCCAAGCAACAAGTGATCTTTCTGAACTAAGATAGATGAGGGTGGGAAGGAAAGAGTAGAAGGAATTAGGACATGGTTTCTGGTACAGGCCTAGAACTTGCTTCTACATTGGAACTGGAGTGAGAGTGAAATGGAGATGTGAATGTAGACTGAGAATAAGTAACTGAGCAACAACAGTGACATTAAGTGGGATGGGGAATAAAAAGGGAAAAATGGGTAGAGGTAGATTGAAGGAGTGAAATAAAATGCTCTACTTTGAAAGCTAAATTTGAGTTATCCATTTATATTCAAGTGAGTGTCCAGTAGCAATGAAATACACTAGAATGGATTTAAGGTCAGAGATCAGATATGGACTTTATATTGGGAGCTGTCAGTGGAATAATATCATCTAAGGCCTGGACCCCAATGAGATTAGTGAAGGAAAGAGCTAAGGAAGAATAGAGAATCTAAAATTTAGATATTGAATGAAGAAGTTGCAAGACTAATACTCAGTAAATTAGAGTGACCATGAGGAGAAAACCAAAAAGAAGACAGACAGCTGAAAGTTTCTCTTTTTTCAGTAAAGTTTGAGTGAAGATTATCATTTGTATGTATGATGTGGTTTAAATAGCAATGAGTGGGAGATCAGGGAATTTGTAAAATGTCATGTTAGAGAGAGGGCAAGAGCACATGTGAGAGAAGCACACTACAATATGGGGCCAGTGTGGAGGTCCATCAGAGATTGGATCACAAATTCAAAGAGACTAGCAGGGTAATTTCACATTATAACAAGATACAGTACTTGTCGAATGATTCAGCAGTCCTTGCCTAGTCCAGTGCAGGCAGTGAAGTGTTAGGTAGTTGACTCAACTATTCTTCTCATTGACAGATAAAGTAGAAACCAGGGAATTGAGTGTACTTGAAGGGGGAGGATTATAATGGGACATCATGTTGTCTAATCAGGGTAAGAAGAACATGTGCAATACTGAGGAGAGTGGAAGAATGAAAAACTGATAAGGGAAAACATTAGCAATCTGCATGAGGATGAAATATCTGGAAAAGAAGCATAATGAATACGTGCCACACGGAGAAGAGGCAACAGTCAGAGAAGGAACAATGTAAGCAAGATCTCAAGCTGGACAGTTAGTGATGGTCAATAGTGTGGCCATCCAGGGAGATGGGATGTATGTGTAGTGCCTCCAAGGGATAAAGTCAGGAATGGAGGCCAGTATGTTATCTCAGTGGAGTGCAAGTTTCCTGGCAGCACCAGGAACAGGAGACAGAGGAGCCTAGTGAGCCTGGGATTGTAGCATTGCTGGATGAGGAGAAGCAACCAGGATGAAGAGTGACACCAGTTGAAGTGGTAGTTGGTACCACTTCATGGGACAAATTTTAAGCACGTGGACATGGAGAAAAAATAATATAAATTGTTGAAAATGACAAAAGAAAGCGGGAACATTTTTATTCTAAGATTTGACCCAGAAATATTCTTTTGAAAGGGAAGCACAGAGCCTCCAGATGATAAAGATATCATTGTTTTCACAGGACAGCCAGTTTTTTTTTTTTTTATCAGAACATTAAACTGAAGACACATTATAGGTCTTAAGAAATTGGAAGACAATAGCCTCCAATTTCCAACAGGCCCCATAGAATGTTTCCTGGGAGAGGGAAGAAGTCGTTCATTTGCAGTAGCATATGGATAAAGGCTCAGAGGAGGGAGTATCAACCAAGACGTCTGGGACGGTGAGGAGATGAATTCAATAAGAAAATAAGGGGCTACTAGGATCCTCATCTCACAGCAATTCCCCATAATGTGGCAGACAAGAAGATTAACAGACAGCTTTTCAACAGAATTTGTATTGGGGCCATGGAGAGGAACTGAACTCTTCTTATCCATCTAGATAATCAGGCATCACTCTCCCCAGCTTCTTCCTACTCTGTGCTTGATGGGATTTTATCACTATCTCAAGTCACCAGGCTTCTCACACCTCAGTATTTACACTGACCAAATGCTCTTATTACTGTCTTCATTTGACATCTACTTCCTTCAATGGACTCAACCTAAATGTGATTTCTCTTTTCCTAAAATTACCCATTTACACAGCACCTTCCACTTCTTTATGACACTCACATTTCTGGTTGGTGTGTGTCATCATGCTAGAGGATAAACTCCATGAGGACAGGGGGAGTATTTTCTTCTTGTCTCTCCTCCTCGTGCCTCGAATTAAGTTGCTAGAAGCAATTAACTCAATTACTTATCATCAAAAATCTGAACTGAGAGTTTGTCTGACTGATGTAGATGGCTGATGTCCATAAAAGTCCATGGGCTCAAAGATAACTGACTAGTACTGGATACCCCAAGTTTCCCTCACTCTCTTGAGAATATGGGGTGAATGAAGTGCTTACTCCTAATCTTAGTTTCCATATCTGGATTAAATGATCACTATAATACCTATGAGAGTTTGCTGAGAGTTTTAATCTTCATTACATGTAGAAAAAGAAAACACAATCTTAACACTATGACAGGACATAGCAAGTGATTTATATAATTGAGGTAAAATTCCTCACTCTACTAAGGAAATAGAGAATAATTATTTTAGCCTAAGACTGTTCTAGCCATTTGTTACACACTTTTTTACCTTTAGAGGGTAAGTTCATGCTTAATTTAATATGCATGACATTTTCCACATAAATGGCTGTCAGAACAGGTTTACTTAATTCTGTCATTGAAATAAGATTGTAAATTGAGGCTAAAATATTCTCTATTCAAATTTGTATCTCAGAAACTTATTTGAACTTATTCTCTTGGCTTGAAAGTATGAAAACAAAAACTTACAGAGTGAGGACACAGGAATAGGGAGTAAATCACCTGAACACATGATATAAGCTTCCTCCTTTGCAGAGCAAGATCTTTGTTTCCAGGGGTCAGAAGGACACTGCCAGAGAGAGGTGTCCGTTTTCCTACACTGGATTCCATCCACCCAACGTGGTCTAGAACCTTCTCTGAGAGGAACAGAAGTGTTGAGAGTCCCAGTGTCCCCACAGCCAAGCTGTCTGCAGATCACGGACAAGGTCACAGCTTCCATGGGGCTGTGGCAGATACTACCCCAGGTGTTGTTGTAGAAAACCTCCAGCCACCCAGCACACTCCTGGTCCTTGCTCACCAACCTGAGGGCCAGGAACTCTGAAACCAAGAGGAGGGAAACAGGACACAGTAAGAATTTAATGTTTAGTGCTGTTTTACTTTACCCCTATGTAGTGAGTCCTCACTGCTAACTTTGCTGATGAAATGCCCACCAGGTGGAAAGACAAAACATATATCCCTTGACCTGTTTTGATAACTTGTATGTATCTTTGTAATTCTATGACAATGGTATAGTGGAAAATGTACAGGCAGGAACACTGAAGTGGGCCTCTTGAGGGGAGGGAGGAAAAGCTACCTGACTAAATATCTGACACACCCTGGGAAAAGGGGTGTGGACAATGAGGTGGCAGAACAGTGAAGTCCCAGATATGTCAGTTCCTGATCCTGAAGCTTGTGAATAGGTTACCTTTTGAGGCAAAGGGGCTTTGCAAACAAGATCAAGATGAGGAATTTTTAATGGTGAGATTATTTTATATTATCTGGGATTAATTATGTCAGCTCAATCTAACATCTTTTATCTGTATACTTACAAGCAGACAATGGTTTCTGACTCTGATCATAGAAAGATATGAAGATTAAAAAATGGTCAGAAGTATGCAAGGTAGTTGACTTGAATAGTGAAGGTAAATACAGGTAATTTTTATATACTAAAAAGGCAAGGAAATGAGTCTTTGAAAAGCCTCCACTGAATGTAGCTCACTGACACCTCATTTATAGCTCAGGTGGACTAGGGTCAGACTTGAACTCATGTTGTTTTAAGCCACTAACTCTGTGGTAATTTATTATGGCAGCAATAGGAAACTAATACAGTGGGTCTCAGGATGTTGCACACACAGTAACTGAAGCATGAGGTCTGCAGTCAAATGAACACTGAAGAGAATGATTGTCAGGAGGCAGGGATGAGAAGGAAGGAGCAGAAACTCAGCTGCTGCACCAGGAAATGGAAGCACTTCATCTTTTCTGCTAGAGGGCCAGGGAGTGTGGGATGAGCCTCCTCCCCATCCACCCTGCCACTAATTTCCCATCCACTTTCGTAAGGCTCAGATACCATCCAGTATATGCTTCTGATTTCTCCTACCGGTACCCAGTGTGCACCACAGACCTGAGCAGATGACCCCAGCGTCTTCTTTGTGCCTGCAGTTGTGCTGCCCCCAGCCCTGGGAAGGGCACTGCCACACATGGGTCTCCTCTCCTGTGCAGTTCAGCTCATCCAGCCAGATGGGCCCTGATCCCTCTCCAAAGTGAGCAGAGATGGTAGCCTCTAGGGCCACTCCACAGCCCAGCTGTCTGCACACCACGTGGGCATCACTCAGGTCCCAGCTGTCATCACAGATGGAGCCCCAGGAGCCCAGCTGCTGGATCTCTACTCTCCCTGCACAGCGACTGCCCCCATCCACCAGGCGGAGCTGTCTGCTGTCTGAGGAGAGACAGGGTCATGTCAGTGGGCATTCACACAGGGAATGGGATACTTGCTCACCTGAGGCAAAGAGGCTTTGCAAACAAGATCAAGATGAGGAATTTTTAATGGTGAGATTATTTTATAATATTTGCTGGGATCCTTGCTCACCTGAGCAGTTGGTGATGTGCCCCTCTGAGGCTGCAGAGTCTGCTGGGTCAGACCAGGAGTCACTGCACTGGGGCAGCAACTCAGTCTGGTTACCTACAGATGGGAGTAGAGAGGATGAAACTGAATTAAGGTACATAATAATCTAGTGATGGCATCTGAAAGCTGTAGGACAAAATCAGTAATTTCCTATCTTCAGAACTGTTCTCATAATGGAGATTTCTGCTTCTGACTCTGACACTTTTTGGGCTATATGTCAAACACTCAGAGTGACTTTAGAAAAGTGACAATATGTTAATGCTTCTTGAGGACGTTGCACAGCTCCCGGGATAGCTAGATGTTAGCAGTCAAGTGAAGATAAAAGTAAAATGTGGGATTAGCTATTTTTTCCCTGGAGGTACTTGCCTATTCTAAGTTAGAAGGTAAAACTGAAAATCTCGCCATATTTGCCTGATTGCCTTGGCCATACACAAATATAATTCAGCTTGGATCAAAGAGGAGAAATCATGTTAAACAAGCAGGAAACTTGTTTTGTATTTTGCGAAAGAAAAAGGATTTTTGTCACAGGGATGGTGCCCAGTTACTCAAAATTTCACTTGTTTTTGTATAATGTGATCTACCTTAAATACATGGATCTACCTTAAGTACATGGAAGGTGCAAAATAAAATCCTTTGTGAAGGTTTTGTATAGTTTCTCAAGAAGCATATTGATCCAAAACACCACATGAAATAGAGTTTAGTAGACAACAAACAGGAACAATGAAAAAAATGGAAAAGATTTTTAGGTATTAATATTGGTGTTTACTTATAGGTGATCTAAATAATCATGTTTAATTGGTCTATTAAATGGCATGATGTGTATATTGGCAGAGAAATGATCACCAAAATATAGTAAAAATTTGCAAGTTAAAAAAATCAAGAGCTAAAAATAAGAACGCAAAGGTGAATCAAAAACATTAGATTATGACAGAATAGAAATTGAAAAGTACAAAAACACAGAAAAATACACAGAATAAAGCACAGAAATATAAGGATAGAAACCATAAACAGGGACTTGAGAGACATGGTGAGAGAACCTAACATTCCTATGTAATCTATAAGTTTTAGATATTTAAGGCCACTATAATAGTGCTAAAAGTACAACTTAGAGAATACACAATTTCAGATATTCAATACACATATAGCTTTAAAACATTTTCACAAAATTTTTGATGCTCTATATATTGACCTCTGGAGTCCATTTCTCCTTCCCTTGAATCTGGGCTGACCATTGTGGGCTGTCTATAAGCAATAGAATGTGGTGAAGCCAAAATGGCTTGACATAGAAGCCTAGCTCAGAAAGTCATAGCTCCTTCTCTTTGCTTTATGGCACATCTATTGTATAGAGACTATCATGTGGGAGAGACCATTTGCAGGTGGTTCTGTCAACAGCCCCCTGTTGAACTCCAAGCTACCAGACATATGAATAAACTATCCTGGATTCCCAGCTTGGTTAAGTCTTCAAGTGATCTCAGTTCCCTATGACATTCAAGGGTAACATTATGACAGATCCCAAGAGGCAACAGCCAAGAGGCATTCCCAAATTCATGAGTCAGGTAATGATGAGAAAAAAAATGAAATATATTTTTTATTTGTGTTGCTCTTCCTTTCTCTTTCTTTCTTGCTTTCATTCTTTCAAATACCTAACTTACAGAATAAGCATAGAATTTTTAAGGCTGCTAGAAACAAATGTCATATTACAATTAGAGGAAAACCAATTTGCATCTCAGTTGATTTCTCAAACCAGACCCAAAATCTAGGAGGTCTTGGAATAATATATATCAAGCCTTCACAGAAAAAGGATGTCAAACAAGAATACAATACCCAACAAAATTAAGCTTCATATTTGAAGATGAAAACAAAACCTTCCATGATAAATAAAATTTAAAAAAAATCACAACTAAAAATCCTCCACTACAGGACATTCTCAGAAAAATATTCCAGGAAGAAAAAAATGAAAAATAAAAGTGAAAATCAGCAAAGGGAGAAGGGGATAAACTAAATCAAATTAAAGTCCAGAAATAAAACAATATGACTGGGAATACAAATCATATCTCAATAATATATTTAAACATACATAGATTGGCATATTGGATTAAAATAACACAACCCAACAATATGCCTTCTCCAAGAGACTCACCACTCACGCAAAGACATTCACAGACCAAAAGTGAAAAGATGGGAAAAATTATATCATGTAAACAAGTAGGGATTTCTGTCCTCATATCAGGTAAAGTGAACTTCAAGTCAAACCCAATCAGAAGGCACAAAGAAAGACATTTCATACTGCTTAAGGGAATGATACATATGCAAGACATTGCAGTTATAAATATTTATGCCTCAAAAAAGGCAGAATCTATTCACATGAAACAAATTCTTCTCAACTTCAAAAAAGAAATAGATCACAATAGAATAATACTGAGTGAATTTAACATTCCTCTATCACTACTGGATAGATCCTCCAAAGAAAACCTAAAGAAACCATAGAACTAAATAATGTAATCAATAATTTAGACTTTAAAGGCAGATATAGAGTATTTCATCCATCAATGATTGGAGACACTGTCTTCTTAGCAGCACATTAATAATTCTCTAAAATAGACCATATTTTATGCCATAAAGCAACTCTTAGAAAATACAAAAAATTAGAGATAATTCCTTGCTTTCTATCTAGTCATAATAGAATGAAATTAGAAATCAATGATATAATTTAAAAAAGAGAAGCTACTTTAACATCAGAAGATTAAATAATGCACTACTGAATGACCAATTGATAGCAGAAGAAATCAAGGATTAAACAAAAAAATACTTAGGGGAAATGAAAATAATATCACAGCATATCAAAATCTCTGGGACACTATGAAGGCAGTACTAAGAGGAAATTTCATTGCATTGAACTCATTCAGTAAAAGAATATAAAGTAAAAAAAATAAGTAACCTAACATTAAATCTCAAAGCCTAGAAAAAGAAAAATAAATCAACACCAAATTCAGTAGAAGACAGGAAAAAATAAAAATTAGAGCTGAAATCAATAAAATGGAAGCAAAATAAATAATTCAAAAATTCACAAAAATGAAAAGTTGGTTCTTTGCAAAAATCAACATAATGATAAACCTTTAGCAACTAAGACAAAGAGAGAGAAAACAAAAATTACTAAAATTTGTGTTGAAAAAGAAATATCACTGGAATACAGTGATAATCAGAAAGCATTTGGAAAATTTATACTCAAAAAAATAGAAAATCTTGAAGACACTTAAAAATTGCTAGAGACATATGACCTATCCAAACTGAATCAGGAGGACATACACAATTTTAACAGATCAATTTCAAGCATTGAAATAGAAGTCACCATGAATAGCCCCAAAATCAAGAAAAGCCCAGGACCAGATAGATTCTCAGCCATGTGCTACAAGACCTTGTAAGAAAATGAATATCAGTTTAGAATACAGTAAACACCAATAGTCCTCAAATTATTCCATGAAATAGAAAAGAAGGGAATCCTTCCAAACTCATTCTATAAAGCTACTATCACACTGATGCCAAAAACAGATAAAGACACATTAAGGAAAGAAAACTTCAGATCAATATCCCTGATGAACATGGATACAAAAATTCTCATTAAAAGTCTGGCAAATCTCATACAAAAATATTAAAATTAGTGCACCATGATCAAGTGGGGTTCATCCCAGGGATGCAAGTTTCATTCAACATATGTAATCAATAAATATAATTCATCACATTGATAGACATAAAGACAAGTATTATATGATCATCTCAACAGATGCAGAAAAAGCACTTAACAAAACACACATGGTTTCATGTTCAAAACACTAGAAAAATTAGGGATAGTAGGAACATCCTCAACATTGAAAAAGTTCTATATGTTAAATCCAAGGCCAACATTATACTAAATGGGGAAATACTGAAAGCATTCCCTCAAAGAACTGGAACAAGACAAGAATGCCCTCTTTCACCACTTATATTCAACATTGTCCTTAGAATTCTAGCCAGGGCAATAAGACAGAAAAAAGAAATTGAATTGATACAAATAGGAAGGAAAGAACACAAACTATCCCTATTTGCTGATGACATGACCTATATTTATAAGATCCAAAAAATTCCACCAGAAAACTTCCAGAACTAATAAATTATTTCTGCAAAGTAGCAGGATATAAAATTAACACCCATAAATCAATTATGTTCCTATACATCAGTGGTGAATACATCAAAAGAAATTAGGAAAACTATGCCATTCATAATGGCCTCAAAATTTAAAATATTTGGGAATCTATATAACAAAAGAGATGAAAGACCTCTACAATGAAAACTACAGATCATTATAGAAAGAAATTAAAAAACAATTTAGAACATGGAAAGATCTTCCATGTTTATGGATAGCAGAATTAACATTGCCAAAATGGCCATACTCTCAATTGCTCTATACAGATTTAATGCAACTACCACTTAAAATTCCAATGGAATTCTTCATTGAAATAGAAAAATCAGTCATGAAATTCATTTGGAAAAATAATAGACCCAGAAGAGTCAAAGCAATCCTTAGCAATAAAAGTAAAGTGGGAGCCATCAAAATACCAGACCTTAAATTATACTACAGAGCTATAGTTACAAAGAGCATCTTGGTTTTGGCACCAAAACAGACAGGTAGACCAATGATACAGAGTAGAAGACACAGAGACAAACCCACATAAATGCAGTTAGCTCATACTAGACCAAGGTCCAAAAATATACACTGGAAAAAAGATAGCCTCTTCAAAAATGGTGTTGGGAAAACTGGAAATTCATATGTAGCAAAGTATAATGGAGCCCAAATCTCTCACCCTGCACAAAACTCAACTCAAAGTGGATCAAGGACTTAGGCTTGAGACCTTAAATCCTATGTCTAATAGAAGTAAAAGTAGGGCCAAATCTCCACCATGTCAGCTTCGAAACTATTTCCTTAACAAGACTTCTAAAGTTCAAGAAGTAAAATCAAGAAACCACAAGTGGGATAGACTCAAACTAAAATGCTTCTTCTCAGCAAGGAAACAATTAAAAATATGAAGAGAGAGCCTGCAGATTAGGAGAAAATCATTGTCACCTGCATTAATCTCCAAGATAGATAAAGATCTCAGAAATTTAACACACCCTCACCAAATAACACAATAGATAAATGGGCTAAGGTACTGAACAGACATTTCACAAAATAAAAAATACAATTGGTCAACAAATATACAAAAAGAATTCAACATCTCTAGTAGTTAGAGACATGCAAATTAAAATTACACTGAGATTTCATATCACTTCAGGTGTAATGGCAATTATCAAGAATACAAGTAACACACAATTAATTTTGGCAAGTATATGGGGAAAAGTATACTCATACAATGTGCTTATGCAAAGTGGTATAGAGATTCCTCAGAAAATTTAGAATGAAACCACAATTTGACTCAGTTTTCCCACTGCAGAGCATATACCTGAAGGACTAAAAATCAGTATGCTGTAGCTACACAACACATCAAAATTCATAGCAGCTCAACTGACAATAGCTAAGCTATGGAACCAACATAGATGTCTTTATACTATATATACTATATAAAATATGATATATATATATATATATATATATATATATATATATATACACATTGGAATATTACTCAACCATAAAGAAGAATGAAATTATGCCATTTGGCAGTAAATGATTGAACGGGTGATTATCATGCTAAGTGAAATAAGCCAATCACCAAAAAACAAAGGCTAAATGTTTTCTCTGATATGCAGGTGCTAATTCACAATAAAGTGTGTGGGAGCTAGGAAAGAATAGAGTTACTTTGGATTATACAGAGGAGAGTGAAAGGAGGGGAAGTTATATAAGTGTAGTAAGGATAGTAGAGTGAATCAGACATTATCACCCTATGTGCATTTATGATTACATGACTGGTGTAACTCTACACCATGTACAATCAGAGTGTTAGGATGGCCTTAGGCCTGAGCCTAAGCAACTCCATTTTAAAAACTCCAGTTTGAAACCTGCAGTTTCACCAGGCAACACCCGCAGATCCCTCCAGTACGGCCTCAAACAAGTTACTTCCTCTCACCCTGATAAACAGAGTGAAGCCCCTGGCAGGCTGTCCTCCCCTGATAAGAGGGGAAGGTGAGAAGATCAGGGTGGAGACCATCAGACCAGAGTAAATTATGTGACTGAGAAAACTGGTGGTAGCTGATAAAGACTGAAAGGGGGGTCACCCCCCCAAATTTTAGTATAAATAATAGAGCAAATGAATAGGAATTCAGCCAACTGAAACAAGAATGCACTCCAGCTGGAGAGCCTGATGAGGATCTGACATTCCATCACTTGTCATCATTTCCTGAGCCTCTGTGTGATCCTCTCTGCTCTCAAACTTTACCGCCTTTTCTGGACCTTGGTGAGAGCCGCAACTTCTCCCTACAACCCTCTCCTCAACCGGTCGTCCACTCCAATCCAGGAAAAGCCTGCCTTGGTTCTGGACCTGGTCATCGTGGTCTGAGTGAGTGTGCATCTACTGGACATAAAGCCTAAGGCTTAAGACATTTTGACTTAGCATGCAGAGGAAATGTCTCTCATTAGCCTATCATGATTAGGTGTGTTTTGCAGTGCTTAGAATTAATCTAGAATAGTTTGCTGTGCATTGATTATGTCTATTGTAGTGCCTAGCATTAAGTATTGTTGTTTGCTTGATTAAGAACCTATAGAGTGAAATTGTATTGAGTACTTTTAGTGAATAAAGCATTGAAAGGGGCAGAAGCACGTGAACATTTTTTATTTCTCCCCTCGACTGCATATGTCACAATTTTGCCCCCTCGCAACAGAGAGGAATGAGAATTTATACTCCAGATATGTATAATACATCAAAATACATTCTACTATAATGCAGAGTTAGTAAGAAAAATAAAAATAATAATAAAAGTGTTTGAAGCAAATGTGGTAGTAAAAGTTTAAGATTTGAGATAACTTTGCAGAACAAAATGTGTGTTCCTTATCTTACTCTGTTTTTCTGTGTGCTTAAATTATATAGGTAATAATAAACTTTTAGCCTTTGTCAATCAAAAAAATTCCTCTGAATAACATTTGACAGGGTCTGACAAATGAATGATCACCAAGAAGAATCATATTACACAAAGGAATGTCTCTTATTTCTATTCTGCTCTCCATGCTGTCTGAACTTAGAGACATGTCACTCAAGTACCAGTCAGCACTGACCTTTCTTACCTGAGCAGACCACAGAGGCTGTGTTTCCATGGGCACAGGCAGGAACACCCAGGGCAGTCAGAGGGCAATTCCACAGGAAGGACTCAGATCCTGAGCAGTGGAATCGGTCTCTCCAGATCTCATCTCCTCCTTCCACAAAGTACTCTCCCTTTGGGGTGGAGATGGCGACTCCACAGCCCAGCTGACGGCAAACTACATTGGCATTGGCCATATTCCAGTGGGAGGCACAGAGTGTTCTCCAGCCTCCAGAGGTCTTCATCTCCACTTGACCCTCACACTGAGAGCTGCCATTTTTCATGAGCCTGACTTCTGTGTACTCTGGCAGGAGAAGACAGGATTTCAGTAACATCTCACGTTTGTTACCACATCAGAGTGTGCAAAAAGGTTAAAGTCCTGATGTGGGTCTCACCTGAGCAGACAACTTGCACAACCCCTCTGTGGGGGCAGCTGCCTGCAGGACAGGGCACTCTGGGGCAGAACCAGAGCTCAGGCTCCCATCCCTTACACTGGAACTCTTCAGCCCAGACCAGTTCACTGGCCACTCTGAGGGGCAGGTCCAAGAGAAAAGATGCTGCCTTGCCACACCCCAGCTCTGCACAGATGACCTGGGCAGTGGGTAATGTGAAATTCCCATAAGATACTGGAGTCCATCCTCCTCCAGAATTCACTTCCACTCGCCCAGAGCAAGGTCCACCTCCTCCATCCAAACGCACAAATCCTGTGGAAGAACATAACCGTTACAATGGTTTGGAATTGGGAGCTACATGTCTCAGGAAAGCTGTGAAATATATATATATATATTTGTATATAGCTGTCAAATATATATATATATATATATATTTGACAAATATATATATATTTGTATATAATATGAACATATTATTCTATGTATTACAATATACCTGTGTGTTTGTCTGTCTCTGTATGTGTCAGTCTACCTCCTTTTTAATAAGCCCTATCCCCTGAATTTGAACTCACTGTAGAAAAAGAGTAGGATTAACTTTTCACTCTTTTATCCTCAGAAACTTTCAGTTCACAAATAATCATTACAACTAAGTTAACATTTGTTAAAAAATGGAAAAATTCAAAATGTATCAAAAATGACAATTTATATTAATTTCCCACTTAGAGATGAGAAAATATCCCACTAAATAGTGTGAGACAGAGATGGAAAGTAGGTTATGGTGACTAAGATAATCTGGCTTCTTTGCACCACCCTTCCCATTAAATAAAACAGAGAATTTAGAAGTAAGATAAACTGGGCAAGGTGGTGTATGCCTATAATCCCAGTGTCTCTGGAGGCTGAGCCAGGAGGATCTCAAGTTCAAAGCAGCCTTAGTAATGGCAAGGTGCTAAGCTACTAATTGGTCAGTCTGTTTCTTTCTAAATAAAATACAAAAAGGGCTGGGGATGTGGCTCAGTGATTGAGTGCCCGTGAGTTCAATCTCTAGTACCTCTCCACCCCCAATAAGAAGTAGGATCAGAAGTTGTCAAGATGTTTGAAGATGCTTATTTGCCTTTTTGTTTTGTTTCAAGGGATCATTCTGTTTCTAATAAGCAGAATTGGAAGAAGCCATTAGACATCTATTGAAGTTGATCAGGAAGTGATTTTGAATATTTATTCCGAACTTTGGGGCAAAATCTGACTACAGATATGCAATTGTAATGTAATTGTAGGTTGATGTCCTGAAGAAGGGAATCCTTTCTCTGAAAAATAACATGTTCGATAATTTTTCTTTTCAAAGTAAGTCATCAAAATGGAATTTACCCAGTGTGGGTAAAAATGCCTCCAATGGGAAAGGATAAAAATTCAGCAGAGAGGTCTTCAAAGGAGACACAATCTGAACTTTCCTCTTAGGCCTGATATAGGAGAAAGGTGTACAAAGACAATATTAAGAGTCTGCTTTCCTGTTTTGTTATTCACAACACTAGCATGTTTTCAGAATTTGTCACTTTCCAGATGTGTTTCTAGGTGCTGTGTTTGTATATTTAAAGAAAATAATGTCATCATCTTTGTAGAGCTTTACATCCAGTGGGGAGAAACCCAGTTTTAAGCCATTTGATGTTTGTGAGTCACTGGGTGAAAAAGGAATAAAAATTGCATCTGCAGAAAACTATTGATTTATATGAATCATTCTCACTTGAGTAAATTAAAAATTGCATCCATTTATATCCTTGTCTGATCTTTTGCTCCATAGACACATTGTTCCTCTGAGCCTTTTTCAGGTTTCTTCTGAGAGTATCATCCAATAGACCTTTTCTTCCTCTATTCCAATCTTCTCAATACCTCAGCTTTGAGTCACTCTTGCAAATCATTTTCCTCCTGAAATGAGGAATGTACTGAGGAGTGTACTGAATTCACACAATGTACACAGGTTGCCCTTCCTACACCAGGGTCTTAAGTATAGCTAAGGTAATTCTTATGTGCTCTTTGTCAATCTTTGAAGGCTATCCCCCAGATCCTGTAAGCTTCTTCTGTATTCTTCAGAAAATTCCCATGCATGTTATGTCAAATGAAAAGATTTAATTCACTTTTTATGGCTAAATAGTATCCCATTGTATTTCATTTATTTGTCCATTTATCAGCTAATGGGCATTTAGATTATTTCCATTTCTTAGCTACTATGAATAGTGCTGCCAGAAACATGGGAGTCCAGATGTCTCTTTAACATGGTGATTTCCCACTTCCTTTGGACATATGCTGAGCATTGGGATTGCTGTATCATATGGTAATTTGTGGGCACTGGATGTTTGATAATGTCTTTGTACCTCCCTTATTTCTGAAGGATAGAATTTCTGGATTCAATATTCTTGATTTGCAGGATTTTCTTCAGATTTATGAAAATCTCATGGCACTCACTTCTGACCTATATGTTTACTGCTGAGAAGTCTGCCATCAGGTGAATTGGAACTGCTTATATATGTTATTTCTTTTTTTCTCTCTTGATGTCTGAGAGTCTTTATCTTTCATCTTTGAGAGCTGTATTATAATTTATATTGATAAGAATCTGAGGCTCCCAGTCACAACTGCTCAACTAATTTTTCACTGTCATGCAAACACTCAACTATCTCCATGTTACGCTGCTGGGGGTTGAGGAGGAATGAGGTAGGTGACCACCAATGCTGCAAATGTCCATTTGTCTGTTGTCACATCCTAAAGCCACAGCCTGCCAAGGACTTGGGAGGGACAAAGAAACTAAATACTATGAGCTGCCTACTGCTGAGGTGGACTCAAGTCTCCAAATTCTTGCAACCAGCCACAGGTGCTGCAGGCTCTTCTTGACTCTGTCCCACCAGCACAGAGGTTGCTTTGTTATCTCCCCTTCTACATTTGAGACCTCTAATTCTTACTTGGTGCTGGGTATGATCATGGTGGGCCTGGACTGAACTTCAAGACAAACTCCTATGCCAACACTCTGCCTGGTCCTCTAAGGAGTCTTGCTTTCTCTGATTCTGCTAGAGGTTGGAATAGTTGTGGTGGAGACAGTCTCTTTGCTGCCCAACTGAACACAGTTCCAGAGTCTCAGTGTAAGGTTACTGGCAAGGGGACAGTATTGTTGGGCTCTGTCAGGCACCAAGTTTCACTATGGCAGGCCTAATCCTGGGTTTCAAGTGTAAGGTCTGGGTTTAATTCCCTTTCCATTTCCCAAGAATGCATTTCCCTTCATGTTGGGCTGCTTGAGGTTGGGAAATGGGCAAGTCTTATCTTCCTTCCTTCTTCAATGTGTCTTTTCTTTTTATTGTAGTAAAAGCAGGCACTCATCTAGGTTATTGTCTCTTATGAAGCCAGTTTGGTGTGTGAATAACAATTAATATGGTGCATTTGTGGGAGATCATTGAACAACCATCCCGGTTCTAGTCCTAAACTATATAACATCTTACTATAATACATATGCATTAATATTTTATTACATCTAACATTAATCTGCCAGCACAGAGTTAAATCCATATCCCAAGTATAAGTTTATTGCTTTGAAAAAGAAATGTAGAAAGAATCTATTGTAGTGATGATGGAAGGGATATCTGTGACTCAGAACATTTCATAGTTCTCTGGCCCTTCCTACCAATGAATTGATAATTCTGATGTCTAAATCTGGAAAGAAGAATTGCAAGTTTGCAGTAATCCATAATTCCCCTGTGATGTGTTTAATCCCATCCCTGTGCCCATACACCTACTAACCCAGTGCAAAACTGTTTCTGGCTATACATATATAAACACTTAATTCAACTGAAAAAAAGTGAGCCCCATTCTTGTCTGTCTTTTGAAAAGATTATATGCATGGTAATTTATAGGTAACCATACAAATAGTAAATCATAGAACCAGAATTATGAAGATGATTTTATGTGGAATAATTCTATAAAGAAACCTTATCTTGTCAAGTATGACTGCCGAGAAGAGAAAAGACACTACCTGAGATTTACAAGAAAGAATTAAATAAAGCCCATCATATACTGCTGTTTTGAGTAACCAGCATTCATGGGGACCTCTTAATCCTCCATGGCTCATCTGTCTCTTATTTCCCCAAGATCAGATAAACACTTTTGGTCCTTTCCATTCTCTTATGCTGTGGAGAATGTTCAGACCCTACCTGAGCAGATGACACTTGCATCCTCACTGTGTGCACAGTCGTGCTGCCCCCAGCCATGAGATGGGCACTTCCACACTTGGTCCTCCTCTCCTGTGCACTGCAGCTGGCTCAGCCAGATGGGCCCTGATCCTTCCCCAAATTGTGCATGGTGCATGGCATCAATGGCAACTCCACAGCCAATTTGTCTGCACACCACATGGGCATCTCTCAGGTCCCATCTCTCATCACAGACAGTGCCCCAGGAATGTTGGTGAAGGATCTCCACTCTGCCTGCACAGCGACTGCCACTGTCCACCAGGCGGAGCTTTGGGGTCTCTGAGGAGAAAACAATTATGTCAATGGTTGTATTTACAAAGCAAAAGAGGAGGATTTTCTTGTCCTATGCTATTCCACCCTCAACAAATCAGTTGGCGGAATCCACTTTCAGATTGCAGAGCTTGCTGTGTAACACATGGAGTCATTTACACCAGGGCAGCAGCTAAGTTTCAATTCCTACCAAAATGAGTAGAAGAATCAATTATGTAAAAAATAAGAAAAGAGATTAAACACAGTATAATATAGTTAGATGTCTAGGTACAAATTATTATGTAGCTGCTATCAGAGTTAAACTTATTATTTGCAGAGTTCTCCATAGGATCTGGTAACACAATTCTAGAAATGTTACATTTCCTATCCTGAGTAGTTAAAAGTCTTTTTCTGAATGATTTCTAAAGGTCAATGGGGCCACCATCTGGTTCTTATAGAGCGCACACACTTGAGTGCTAATGGCCTAATATATGGAAGGATAAGAACACAGTAGGGAGAGTAAGAAACTGGGATGAGATTATCAGAAACTTCAGGTGACAGCCATGAATCCAGGAAAAATCATAACCATATGGTCATTAAGACTGGAAAATGGATGGACCATTTTTGCCTCCAAATATTGCACTAATGATTCTAGGCTTCAGAGCTCAGATTGGATATGTAATGCCAAAACTTGACTTACTTTAGGTAGGTTGAGCAACTTCTCAAAAAAGATGATGTCAGATATTGACATTGCTCAACACCCATAGAAAGTTACTTCCCCCCCGCCCCCCAAACAAAACAAATCTATGCTTGGAATTCTTTTCAGGAGTTGTTATTGTGCAAAAATAGGAGTTTTGGGCAAGGAAGTAAGTAGCAGAAAAGAGGTACCTTTGCTGTGACTTTGAGTGAAAAAGGTTTGAGGAGAGAAAGAAAGGAGCTAATAAAGAAGTCATGATACATTTAAACTACAAGGAGAAGCAGAAAGGCAGCCAAGGAACGTACAAAGCAATTTACAACTTCATCTCCAGCTGCCTGGGTGAGGGAGGCAACTTGCAAATATGAAGTAAGCTGGAGAATGGAGACAACCCAGATGGTGTCTTACCTGTGGGAGAAACACATGGTTCTTACAAGCTTTAGATCAAATCTGGGGCATTGTTCTGGGAGGGAGTACTCTTGTACAACAAGCAAGCTTTAGAGAAAAAATTCACCACATTGCCCAGCAAGCTCTCAGAGTGATATAACCAGGAGCTATCTTAAGAAGTGGTCATTGTTAGGAACTTAACTGCTCTGAGATTTAGACAATATGTGGTAATCACAATTTTAGGCCCCTGGGCCACCCTGCCACAGTGATTGGGTGGAAGTTAATGTTCTACAGTCTCAAATAGGAAGAGTGCCTGTCACAAACACGCTGAAAGCATTGAATTACAGAGGAGGGATGGAGGTCTCATTGGTAAGTGGTTCAACCCTCTATTTAGAAGAACAATTCCAGGCACATGTGGTTGCACATAGGGACCTGGTCTGAGAGCTAATCGACAACATCTGGCAATTCACAGCTTCCCCATGTCACCTCTCCAGGGATTACACTATTTCCCACAGGCTTTTCAGGGATTCACCATGGCTAGAACACTTGGCACACCCCTAACTCTAGCTAATATAGGGAAATTTCACCTTAATGAAGCTGTGGCCTAGTCCTGGTGAAGTATTAGAGGATATTTCAACTTAATGTAAAGGGAAGAAACAAATCCACATTTGAAGAGCCAGCCACAAATAGGCATAATTCCTGCTCCTGAACAATCTCCACCTTAATTATTAATTATTTCTCCAGAAATAAATAATTCAAATGTTGTGGAAAAAGTGCCTTGAAGGACCTAAGTACAGGTTGCTTCCATACCTCTCAGACCAAATACTAAAAAATAATACCACAGGAAGAATGCCCTATACATTGTGCTGTCCATAACAACACACCTGAATTACCAGAAGGGCCTCATTTGTATGAGAACTATAGAGAAAGATGTGCTCTGACACACACAAAAAAATACCTGGAGTTTCAAAACCCATTATTACCAGACAAATAAGCCACAGAGAAACAACCTACAATGTCCACTTTGAATTAATATCGACACTGCAAGACACCTACACCTCAAGGCATATCATTAAGAGAAAGGTGCTTACTAAGAATATCTTCACATAACAGATTTCTAAACAGAAACAATAAAGGCCAGGAGGGCGTGGAGTGATGTCCTTAAGACCTTGAAAGAAAACAACTTCGAACTACATGACTATGTTCAGCGAAGTTATCTTTTAGAATCAAAGAAAAATAAGTCTTTTGAAGATAAGTATCAGTTAAAGGAAATTTGAATCACTGAACATACACTGTAGAAGATAGTGGAGCAATCCTACATACAGAGTAGGAAGCAAGACAATCTAGCCTTGAGAGCATAGAAAAGAACAAATCTCACTAGAAGAGCAGATAAACAAGTGAGAAGGAGGAAAGAATCAAACATTATCAATTCAGTAAATTGACAAAACTCCAAGATGAATAAGGGAGAAAGATGTGACTATAGATTATTCAAGCTGTCCAGAAAAAAAAATGATAGGCAAAGAGAAATTGAAAATCTGTAAGACAAAATAAGACCAATAGGGTAAAGTGACTATATGAGGAGAAAACAAAGTAGGCAGCTGAAGGCTTCTATTTTCCAGGGATGTTTGAGGCAAGATCATCATTTAAGTATATGGTGGAGTTAAAATATCAGCATGCAGGAGATCTGAGAATTTGTAAAATAACATGTTATAGAAAGGGCAAAAGCACATGTGAGAGAAGCAAACTGGAATATGGGCCAGTGTGGATGGTCCATCAGAGGTTGGATTCAAATTCAAAGAGAATAGCAGGATAATTTCATATTATAACAAGATACAGTACTTGTCCATGATTCAGCAGTCCTTGCCTAGTCCAGTACAGGCAGGCAAGGAGGGCATGGAGTGATGTAGTTAAAACATGAGTTAGGTAGTTAAAACAACCATTCTTGTCATTGACAGATAAAGAAGAGACTAGGGAATTGAGAGTACTTGAAGGGGAAGGATTATAATGGAGCATCATGTTGTCTAATCAGGGTAAGAAGAACATGTGCAATCATGAGGAGAGTGGAAACCTGGGAAACTGATAAAGGAAAATGTTTGTAATATGCATGAGGATGAAATATCTGGAAAAGGAGCATCAAGAATATGTGCCATAAGGAAAAGAAGCAATAGTCAGAGAGGGAACAATGCAATCAAGATCTCAACCTGGACAGTTAGTGATGGTCAATAGTGTGGCCATACAGGGAGATGCAATGTAAGTGGAGTGCTTCAAAGGGAGAAAGCCAATAATTGAGAGGCCAGGATGTTATCTCAGTTGTGTTCAAGGTTCCTGGAAGCACCGGGAACAGGAGACAGAGGAGCCTGAGGAGCCTAGTACTTCAGACTTCCTGGATGAGGGGAATGACCAAGCTGGAGAGTGACACCAAAAGTGCTGGCAGGTACCACCTCATGGGCAAACTCAAACTGTTGGACATGGAGAAAAAGAAAAGAATTCATTAAAAATTACAGGGCACAGCAGAAATATTCTAAGAATAGCGTGGATAATTACAAACTTAATTCTAAGATTTGACATAGAAATAAAAAGCATGTTGAAAAGGAAGCACAGAGCCTCCAAATGACAGGAACTTCATTGTTCTCAGAGGACAGCCAGGTTTTTATCAGAACAAGAAAATTAAGGGGACATTACAGGTCTTAAAAACATTAGAAGATGATAGGCTTCAATTTCCAATAGGTCCCATGGAACATTTTCTGGGAGAGGGATGAAGTGGGCATTAGTTTGCAGTAGCATATGGATAAAGGCTCAGAGGAGGTAATATCAACCAAGATCACTGGGACTGTGAGGAGGTGACTTCAAAGAAGAAAATAAGGGGAGACCAGGCCCCTCATCTCACAGCAGTTCCCCATGATGTGGCAGAGGGGAAGATTAACAAACATCTTTTCAACAGGATTATTATTTGGGACATGCTTTGAAGAGGCCTTGAGCTCTTCCTACCCATCCAGGTAATCATGTATCACTCTTCTCACCCTCTTCCTCCTCTGCTCATGGTATCTCAAGGTCACTATGCTCCTCCCAAGTCAGTACTTACACTGATAAATCCTCTATTTTCTTCTCTCATTGAACCTCTAGTGCTCCTTAAGTTCTCAAAAAATTTTTTTCTCTTTTTTCCAAAATCACACATTTCCATAGCACCTTATACATAGTTGTGTAGTTGGGCTGGAGTGCAAACTCCATGAGGACAGGGGCAGTATTTTCTTCTTGTGTCTGTCTTCCTGCCTGGAATTACTTTTCTACTTACATGTCACTTGATTACTTTCCATCAACAAAATAAACTGACAGGTATTCTGTCTGGTGTAGATGGATTTCAGAGTAAAGAGTCCAATATACTTGATTCCCCAAATTGTTCCCCACTGGTTTGAAAGTTGGAGGGAGATGAAGTGTTTACTCCTAACCTCAGTTTCCTCCTCTGAAATAAATGATCACCACGATACCTATCATCAGTTGATTGTGACGATTAAGCCACATTATTTGTGGTATGGTGGGGTGGGGAAAAAGTGATAGCACACAGTAAGCAATGTGTATTATTGAGGTCTAATCATTCACTCTCTCACTAAGGAAATACAGATTAATTAATATAATCTGAGACTGCATTAGCTAATTGCCAAGAATGTTTATCAGAGCCTAACTTGATGCTCCCATATGCTCAGTTCAGTCTCCGGTACTTTTCATATAAATTTCTATCATTGCAGATTTTCTTTTTTTTTAAGATGAGAGAGAGACAGAGAGAGAGAGAGAGAGAGAGAGAGAGAGAGAGAGAATTTTTTAATATTTATTTTTCAGTTTTCGGTGGACACAACATCTTTATTTTATTTTTATGTGGTGCTAAGGATCGAACCCAGCTCCCCACGCATGCCAGGGGAGCATGTTACCACTTGAGCCACATCCCCAGCCTGCAGATTTTCTTATATCTGCCTTTGAAACAGGATTTCAAGAGTTGGATAAAGTAAGCTCTATCCAGTATTCATTCTGTAGATTTATTTCAACTCATCCATTGTATTTGAATATATAAAATTTTCCTGACAACAACCTGCAGGCATAGGACAAACACATAAAAATAGACAGTAGGTCACCTGTACATGTGATATGAGCTTCCTCCTTTGCAGAGCAAGATTGGTGTTTCCAGGGGTCAGAAGGACACTGCCAGAGAGAGGTATCAGTTTCCCGACAGTGGATTCCATCTACCCAGTGGGGTCTAGAACGTTCTCTGGGAGGAACCAAGAAATCCAGAGTCCCAGTGTCTCCACAGCCAAGTTGTCTGCAGATCATGGATAAGGTCATGGGTTCCATATGGCTGTGGCAGACACTGCCCCAGGTTTTATTATAGAAAATCTCCAGCCACCCAGCACACTTCTGGTCCTCGCTCACCAGCCTGAGGGCCAGGAACTCTGAAATGGAAAGGAGGAAAACAGGGCTCAGTGAGCATTCAACTCTTACTGCTATTTCTTCTTTATTCCTAATTAGTGAATGTTCATTGCTGACTCTGCTGAGTAAATGCCCACTAGGTGGAAGACTGGAATTTTTGTCCCTTTAACGTGTTTTGCCTACTTGTACCTCTCTTTCTGTTTCTACAACAATGTAATATTACCAAATGCATAGGCAGGAACAATGATCTGGGGACTCTGCAGGAAGTGAATTCTTTATCTGCTATCTGACTAACCATCTGACAGATCCTAAAAAATGAGTATAAACAGAGGGGTGGTAGAAGAGTGGAGCTCCAAATATGACTACTTCTTGATCCTGAGGGCTTGTGAATATTTGAGCTCACATTGCAAAAGGGCTTTTCAAACAAGATTAAGAAAAGAATCCTTTCTCTCTAGGCAAGATGGGACATGCTTGTATTCCAAGTTGATTGGAAGGCTAAAGCAGGAACATCCCATGTTCAAAGCCAGCCTCAGCAACTTAGTGAGGCTCTAAGCAATTTAATATGACTCTGTCTCAAAATAAAAAATAAACAAAAGTGCCATGGTTCTGCTCCAGTGGTTGAGTCCCTTGATTCAAGCCCAGCACCAAAATAACAAACAAAAACAAAAACAAAAAAAAATTAACAAAAGTATGCTTTCATTGTGAAATTATCCTGGATCATCCTGGATAGAATTTCCCCAATGTAATGATATACTTATACCTGTATCCTCACAAACAGATAAGCCATTCTGGCCCTCACTAGAGTGTGATGTGAATATGGAATGGTGAGACGGTTGAAACAATTTGAGTTGAAGAAGGAAGGGGTCATACAAGGAAGTCAGGTAATTTATAGAAGTGGAAAAAGGTAAGAAAAAGAGTATTCCCAGAGCTCCAGCTGTTGCAGCCTGCTGTCACCTGTTGATAGCCCACACAGACCCAGATCAGTCTTCTAACCTACACACTGTAAGGTGATAAATTTGTATTGTTTTAAGACCCTCAGTCTATGGTAACTTGTTACAGAAGAAATAGAAGACTAATTCAGTGGGTCAGGATGTTGCACTGGCAGGTAACAGAAGAGTGATGACTGCTTTAAATGGACACTGTAGAGAAAGACTGTGTCAGGGGACAGTGCTGAGATGGAAGGAGCAGAAGTTCAGCTGCTACAGCAGGAAATGGAAGCACCTCATCTTCTCCTCTGCTGCAGGGACAGGAATTGTGAGAGGCACCACCTCACCTTTGCCCTGTCAGCAACTACCCAATACCAGCCCTAGGGCTCAGACACCATCCTGCAGACCCTTCCAGCCTATGCACAAAATGTATCACAGACCTGAGCAGATGACTCCAGCATCTTTCTTGTGACTACAGTTGTGCTGTCCCCAGCCCTGGGAAGGGCACTGCCACACATGGGCCTCCTCTCCTGTGCAGTTCAGCTCATCCAGCCAGATAGGCCCTGATCCCTCTCCAAAGTGAGCAGAGATGGTGGCCTCCAGGGCCACTCCACAGCCCAGCTGTCTGCACACCACGTGGGCATCACTCAGGTCCCAGCTGTCATCACAGATGGAGCCCCAAGAGCCCTGCTGCAGGATCTCCACTCTCCCTGCACAGTGACTTCCCCCATCCACCAGGCGGAGCTGTCTGCTGTCTGAGGAGAGACAAGGTCATGTCAGTGGGCATTTGCACAGGGAATGGGAAGCCTCTGGTGCTGGGATCCTTGCTCACCTGAGCAGTTGTCAGAGTGGCCCTCTGAGGCTGCAGAGCTTTCTGGGTCAGAACAGGAGTCATTGCACTGGGACAGCAGCTGGATCTGGTTTCCTACAGATGGGAGTAGAGAGCAGAAAACTGAATTAAACTTGACAATAATCCAGTGATGGCATCTGAAAGCTGTAGCCCATGATCAGTAACTTCCTATCTCCTATTCAAGGATTCTGCTTCTGCTTCTGAGACACACTTCTCTCTTCAATGAAGTGTAAATCTAATAAAGTCCCAGGAATGACTTTAGGAAAGTGTGAATAAAGCTCCCAGGGAAGCAAGACTTAGGAGTCAAGTTCAGAGAAAAATAAAACTATATTTAGCTATTTTTCCATGGAAGCATTTGGGCATTCAAAGGTAGTAGGTGACACTCTGAAAATCTCAGCATGTTTGCCATTTTTTCCTGGGAGTACACAAGTAAAATTTACATTTAAACAAAGAGGAGGAATCATATTTAAACAACCAGGAAACTTGTATAATATTTTATAAAAGAATATTTGTCATAAAGATGGTGCATCTTGGTAGAAAATAACAAAAATCCAATAAATATTTGTGAGTGATGTATAACTAAAAAGCACCAAGTAAAATGAACCTATATAGTCAGTAGCTAAAAATAAGAAACCAGAGGATGAGTCTAACAATACTGTAGGTTAACATGAAATAGAAAAATTAAGTGCATTAACATAGGAAAACACAGAGTGAAAAACAGAAAGGCAAAACCATAAGAAATATAATAGGATACTAAGAGAGATTGTGAGAGAACTTAACATTCCTATATACTCTACAAGTTTTAGATATTAAGACCATAATTGATTGCACAAAAAATAAAATTAGATAATACACAAAGTGAGATATTTAACACACTTGTAGTTTTGAAAATACCCACAAAATCTGTGACATTCTATTGACCTGTGCTATCCATTCCTCCTGCCCTCCCATCTGGGCTGACAGTGGTGAGTTGTCTATAATGTCTACAAGCAACAGAATGTAGTGAAGCCAGCACAGCTTGACTTAGGAACCTAGATAAGAAAGTCAGGCCTCCTCCTGTGACTTGGTAGGATGTTTGCTTAATGGGAAATCTACTCTGTAGAGACTATCATGTAGGAGAGAACATTTGAGGTGGTTCTGTCAGTAACCCCAGTGAACTTTAAGCTACCAGCCATGTAAATAAACTGTCCTAGATTCCCAGCTTGGCCAAGTCTTCAATGACCTCAGCTGCAGATGAGATCAAGTGTAACCTAATGAGACCACAAGAGACAACTGCCAAGAGTCCTTGCCAAATTTATGAATCTGGAAATTATGGGCAAAATGAAATATATTTTTACTTGTGTTGCTATTTTTTGGGGGGGGGCAGTGATGCATTAAAAAACTATAGCAACTAGGACAATGATATTTACTGTGAAACAGCAATCATACATTTCCATATTTTGTGGGGCATTATTCACAATAGCTATAGTATGGAATCACATGTCCATTGCAAGAGAAATTCATAAAGAGAATGTGGTATAAATATGACCATAAAAGGAATGGTGTCTTGTCTTTTGCATCAAAATAGATGGAATCATAGGACATTAAGTTCAACAACCAAGACACAGAGAGACAAGTACCACACATTCTCCATCATATGTGGAAGCCAACAGGTTATTTTATGGAAATTGGCAATGACACTGTGGTTATATAAATAGTCTTGATAATATTTCAAGAATAATGAAATATCTTATTCACCTACTCTTAACTAGTCAGTCAGAAATATTTTACACATTCAAGGAAAAATGTGGCAGGGAGAGGGGATAATGTAGAAAAAGTAATAGCATTGGGGAATCAGGGTCAGGGTCATCTGGGAATTTTGTGCTATCTTTGAAGATTATTCAGAATTCTCAAATCATCAAGAAAAATAATGAAATAAGTGAAAGAGGAAGAGGAAAACAAAGCCACCAAAAAAGTGAATGTGAAAACTAGTTGTGATGTTTAGATACTGGGTATCCCAGAAAAGCCTATGTGTGAGTCAATGAAAAGTTTACAAGTGAAATGATTGGGTTAGGAACATCTTAACTTAATCAGCACGTTAATCCTTGTTAGTATTAACTAGGTGGTGATAATAGTCATATATGTTGTGGCTGGATAAGATGGGTCCCTGTTGCCATGATTTTGGGATTTATATGTTGTCTTTGTTGAGCAGAGTTTTCCCCATTTCTGCTTCTTGGTGGCCATCTGCTGACCTCCTTTACCCTGCTTCACTTTTCCTCCATGATATTCTACCTTACCTCCAACCACAAGGAATGGAGTAGGATATCTATGGACTGAGACCTCTGAAACCTTCGACTTCAAAATAATTTTTTTCTCCTAAAATTGTTCTTGTCAGGCCTTTCTGTCACAGTACAAAAAAGAAGACTAAAACATTAAATGTCCTAGGACATTTTACTAAAAGAAACTCATAAAATAACATCAAAAACATAAAACACCAATAGTATACCTAGTGAAAGTTACGTTTAATTTCTGAGGGAAATTAGAGATATACCATGTACATTAATTAGCTCCATATTGATGTTTAGGTCAAATCCAAACTTAATCTAAAGAGCATCATTCTATTATTGAATTAAATATATCATGTTGTTTGTAAAATGTGTTTGAAATGCAGAAGATCAAGCATGACCAATGCACTGGCCTGGAAAAACAACACAATTAGTGCAGTTACTTTAAAGAAATCTTTACAAAAGTTAATCAGACATGCTATAAAGTTATAGTTAAGGAGGTGTGCATAGCTACAAGCCTAGAAAATGATAGAATGGAATGGAACAGAGCATAGAGCAAGAGTCAGTAATATCTGCACCCTGTGTATTTCAACGGTGACGCAGCAGTGTGGAAAAGGCTTTTCAGTAATGATTCTGAGTCAATTGGATATCCAAACAATGATGTGAAAGTTTTTTCACAACACACACTATATAAAATACCAATTCCAGAAAGATTGTTTAACTATATGTAAAAGAAATGTAACTAAATATGTACAAGGTACTCTTGAAGAATATTTTTTATAATCTTATGATAATTAAGTTCTTTTTAAAAGGACACTAGAACACTATAAGTGCAGCAAATGTTGATATGCTGTGCTTCATAAAGAACAAGAATTTGACTCCAGAAAGAAGACCATATAAAGAGGGGGCATATGAAAGGACAAGGGTTAATAAAGATAAACAAATATATCCATATTTGCATCAAACAATATTGACAATGGTGACTTGTAGGATAATTATTTGGGTACTCAAAAAGTGCAAACAACTCAAATCTCCACATCATTTGAATTATCAATTTATGATCCTGTAGTTATTTGCAGAAAACTCTACAAAAATAAAAATAGGACTCAGCTAAAAATAAAAACATGGGTAAATTGTAAACATTATGTTGAGTCAAAGAAGACACAAAAAGAGAACATGGTGCATGATTTTACATGAAGCTCAAAATCTGAAGAAAATATTCTTTGGCAACAAAAGTTAGATAGAGTGTGCTTTTTTGGAGGGGAGGAAGGCACAGTGACTGGAGGAATGTGAGAGTGACTTCTGGGAGCTGCTGCTGCTCTCTGATAGTCCAGGGTGAGGAATGTGACAAAGCTGTCATTCATTGTTATATAGTGTTATGTATGAATTTCAATAAATTATAATTCTTACTTAAAACCAATCTTCTTAATATTTTTGACAGGGCTGAAAGATGAGTGATAATTAAGAATCATAATTCACCACAAAATGTCTCATTTTTGAAGTCAGCTCTCCATGCTGTTTGCTCTTAAAGAAATGTCACTCAAGTACCAGTCAGCCCTGACCTCTCTTACCTGAGCAGACCACAGAGGCTGTGTTTCCATGGGCACAGGCAGGAACGCCCAGGGCAGTCACAGGGCAATTCCACAAGAAGGACTCAAACCCTGAGCAGTGGAATCGGTCTCTCCAGATCTCATCTCCTCTTTCCACAAAGTATGCTCCCTTTGGGGTGGAGATGGCAATCCCACAGCCCAATTGACGGCAAACAACATTGGCATTGGCCATATTCCAGTGGGAGGCACAGAGTGTTCTCCAGCCTCCAGAGGTCTTCATCTCCACTTGACCCTCACACCCAGAGCTGCCATTTTTCATGAGCCGAACATCTGTATATCCTGGCAGAAGACAGGGTTTAGCAACATCCCACATTTTTCTTATCCCCATAGATTGTGTAGGGAGGTTAAAGTCCTGTTGTGAGTCTCACCTGAGCAGACAACATGCACAGCCCCTCTGTGGGGGCAGCTCCCTGCAGGGCAGGGCACTCTGGGACAGAACCAGAGGCCAGTCTCCTGCCCCTCACACTGGAACTCTTCAGCCCAGATCTGTTCACTGTCCTCTCTGAAGGGCAGGTTCTCCAGGACAGATGCAGCCTTGCCACACCCCAGCTCTGCACAGATGACCTGGGCTGTGGATAATGTGAAATTCCCATCAGATACTGGAATCCACTTTCCTCCAGAATTCACTTCCACTCGCCCAGAGCAAGGTCCATGTCCTCCAACCAGATGCACAAATCCTATGGGAGAAAAAACAAACAACAACATGTACCAGCCAATAGAAGGAGGAAGCTACAATTCACAGGTAATGCTGTGAAATCTTTTTGTTTTTCAGGATTGTGGTGTGGGGCTTGGATTCAACAGATGGTGCCTGAATGTGAATTCTTGGAGGAAGTGTGTGAAGACAAATTTTGGAGAAGGAATTTGTGAGGTCAATTCTAAATTGTTGATTCAAGAAATGAATATACACACTGCTCTACACACATGGGTATATGTCTAAGAAATTAATATACATAGTATGTAATAAGCTGTTTTCTTTTATATGGATATATTATTCTTTATATTATAAATGTATCTGTGTGTTTTAATCATTTTAATTTAATCATTTTAATCTAATGACTTTCTGTGAAGTCTATCTCCTTTTAAAAAAAAAATTAGACCCATATGTATCCACTGAAAGTGAACTCAATGAGAAAAAGACTAGGATTAATTTTTCACTATTTTATCCTCTGAAATTATCAATTCACAGATAATAATTCCAACTAATATAACATTCGCTAATGAATGAAAAAATCAATAGGTATGGAAACTGACAATTTATACTTATTTCTCATTTAGGCATAAGAAAAGAGCCCACTAAATAGTGTGAGGCTGAGATAGAAAACAGGTTATTGTGAGTAAAATAATCAAGGTTCTTTAAATCAATCTTCACATTATAGAAGAAAGAAAGGCCATTTATAAGTAGGAACAGAAGTTATGAGAGATTTGAGCTTAAGCATTGTTATTTTTTCTTTTATTTTGTGTTTTTAAGGGTTTATTTTGTTTATAATAAACAGAGTTCTAAGACTCCATTACACATCTACTGAAGCTGGTCAGGAAGTGATTTCAAGTATGGGTCCACATAATTTGGAGAGGTATTTGGTTATAGATATGAAACTGTAATGTAATAGTAATTTTATGTAGTAATGAAGTTCAACAAGGAATTCTTTCTCAAAAAAATAGCATGTTCCTTATATTTGTCCCCAAGTAAACCATCAAAGTGGAATGAAGATCAAAAGCATTGATCTAATTATTAAAATTCTTTCTTAAAATACTCCCTTTTCTCTCTGAAGCTGATGTATTAAAAATGAAGTGTGAATGAGTAAAGTGTAACTACATTGATAATTTTAATTTCTATCATTATAGAGGAGTGATATAGTATACCTTACTTATAGAGTCAAAATGCAGATATACAAATTCCAAACTGAAATCACTAATCCTTAGGAGGTTATGTTTAAAAGAATATGACACCTACAGGAGCATCATAAAATCAGCCATCACTACGGTTGTCCAGTGACAGGAACAACAAAGACCAGCCTCCAGAACAGAAACCTGGCTGAATGAAGGCTCTGCCTGTGGATGCACCAGGTCTCCTTCTCTGTGAACTCTGGTTTCCACTCAGTTCCACATTCACATTAAAGGTCAACATCAGTACCACCAGAGGGCCACCAGGTTTGCATGACTGATTGTAGTTTAGGCTCAGATAGAAACACAAATTTGCCTAAAGTGACACTACCTCCTTTTTTAAAAATAATATTTGACCCACTGCTAGCTTCCAAGAGTTAGAATGTCTCAGTGGAGATAAAATAACATTACATGCAAGTTTTATCTGAGATAATCCACTGGTATATATGAGTGTAGTGTTCTCTGGTTGAAATGTTATGAGGGTATGTTTGTCTTAGGCACTGAATTCTAATGGAATATCAAACCTTTGCAATAAACTTTTATATAATTTCCATTATTAAAAATCAGCAGAATTTTAGATAAAGAAATAGATCACCCAATGTGGTTTCACCTTTACTCTTCTACTCTTCATAGATCAGAGAAAACTGATCCAGCTGTACAGCCTGAGAGAGGAAAGAGTAAAATTCATACAGTACATGTACTCAGACCATAACTGAGCCTCTATAATTGTGCTGAACAGAAATCCTGAGGTGTTCAGAGGGCAGTATTGTTGCAAACTCAGCAATACATTTATTTGTCTTTTAAAAAAGAGCTATTTTAATAAGAACTACTGAATGTAGAACCAATACAATTAACCAAATTCCATGAAAACTCCAAAGGACAAACACAGCAAAGAATAAAGTAACTTTGAAAACTTAAGGTTTGACATCTACATCTTGAACACTAGAGAACAAATTTTGCTTTTTATGTCAAATCAGAAGAGTCAGAGACACATTTGCACTTCAGTCCAAAAGAGGAAAACATCAAATCCCACAACAACCAATCAAGGAAAATGGTCCTACTCTGTGGCCTAAGAAACCTGGAGAATTGGCACCAAAAAGACCTGAGGGTGCAGAGTATGTGTTTAGTATGTGTTTATGGCAGCAAATAGAGTCTTTTAGTGGCTTCTCTTGTAGGGACAGACAGATGGGAAGCTCCCAGGCAAGGTCTGGGTGTAGGTGCTTCCTGAATAAATAAATGAGGTGTTATGATATTTATCCTAAATCCATTCTCAGTCTCATTTTCCCTTCCTAAACCTCTCTATCTGAATTTTCTAGTACCCTAAATACCCCAACTTTTTGTTGAGGGTATCTTTGTCTTAGGCACTGAATTCTATTGGAATATGAAACCTCTGCAATAAACTTTTATATAATTTCCCTATTAAAAATCAGAAGAATTTCTGATTTGTGATGTTTCCTCATCCATCACTCCAAAATCTTATGTTTAGGCTTTTTTCATGGCTAAGTTTAAAGCTCCACAGAGATAAATGCTATTGACAGCGTTAAATGTGTTAAAAGTTACTAAAAATTATATACTATTGAAGATGCTCATATGATACATCCGTATGCCCTGACACAGAAGACAGAACTTGGGGAGAGTAAGTGACCTTTTAGAAGTTAGAGATAAGCTGGCATCCAGGCCTGTCCACTATATCCTCATTTATGCCTCGTGATGACAGCTGTTCTTGCTTTCAAGCTCCCCCTTTCCTAACTGCCCCCCCCCACTGCTTCAACCAGCCCCTCCATAGAGGATATACCCTGTGCCTTTCTCTGGTGCTGCATCTCTACTCTTATTTCACAGATGTAGCCTCCACTTTACCAACTGGGTTTATTTGCAAAAACACTTCAGTAAAGTCCCAGAAGGGCTTATAGAAACCTGGTCTGCAGGAAACTACACTTTCTGTATCTGTGCCAGATCCTGGGAGATCCTCAATTCTCCACATCCCAGATTTTACAAAACTAGCGCTCTCTCCCCTTGTGGAAATGGCCTCTCTCACTTCACATTGCTATTAGAACTTTTGGGCTCAAATTTATCCAGGTAAACAAAAGAGGCAGTTTGCCAGGTTGATTTCCAACATCTTTCATTAAGATCACACTTTTTTTATTTCCACTAAGGCCAAGATTTCCTGCTCCACCTTTCCTGTACCTGGGACTCATCTGCATCTAACCAAGTCTCCAGGGCTTTGATCACAAGCTTTGTTTCTGAATCCACCTGTCTCCTTTTCCATCACTCCAAAATCTAATTATACTCTTTATGACACAGAACTGTGTCACCTGTTTAGATGGGAATGTCTCCATCAGATGTGGTACTAGGCCAGGCAGAGGTGCACATAGATCCCAGTATCTTCCTTGAAGACCAAACTTGCCCTGTATTCTTGGGTTTCCCAGTCAACTCTGAAAGCCAGAGGAGGCAGCATGACCTTCCCTTAGAGGCAGAGCAGGGGACAAGGAGAGAGGTCAATGGAGACCCAGAAATGGGTAAAAATGTGTGTGATTAGGAAAGGATAAAATGAGGAAGAGTGGTGTTTGAAGTAGACATAATCAAAACTTTTCACCTTGACATGATATAGGAGAGAGGTATTTGAAGAGAGTATTGACAATCTACTTCCATGGTTTCTAATCCAAATTACTAATGTCTTTTTAGGATTTACCATGTTCCGGAAATGTTTTTAGGTATTGGGCATGAATATTTCAAGGAAATAATGAGAACAAAAACAAACAATTTCAAGCCATTTGAAGTTTATGAGAGTTCTGGTTGGGGGGGGGCGGAGAAAAAATGGCATCTGCAGAAGTCTATTGATTCACATGAATCATCCTCACTAGAGATTGCAGTCAGATCTATCCTTGTCTGATTCTTTGCTTCAGGATACATTGCTTCATTGGGCAACTTTCAAGTATTTCTTAATACAGTGTCATCCATGGGACCTTTTGCTCCCCCATTCTGACCTCAATACCTCAACTTTGAGTTACACTTACAAATCATTCTTCTTTGACACAGCATGGGTGTCCAGAACTCACACAAATGTACATAGATTCACCACCCTACACGAGGGTCTTAAGTGCTGCTCAGATAATCCTTATATGCTCTTTGTTAATCCTCTGTTGCCATCCTCCAGACCCTGGAAGTTTCCTCTATCTTCCTCAAAATGTTCCATTTTTCTCATTCTTATCAAATTTACCTCACAATGCACTTCTTTTGTATTACTGAATCCATCACATATAAACTATATAAACTTCCCTCATATCTTGTCACCCATAGCATTTTTCTCCTTTTTTCATTTAAATTTGTTTTAACTAATACCTAAAATATAATTAGTGTACCTATTAATGGAGTAAATAGATCTGTTGATCATGGATATACTGTGTTATTTTGTTTCCTCAAACACTTTTCATTTTCTTTTGTGAATATTTCCAATATGCTCTCTTCTTGCTTATTGAAATAAAGTTTTCTTATTGCTATCTATAGTCACTCTACTGTGCAACAGTGCACAAGAACTTCTGGTCTACCTAAGTAAAACCTATAACTGATTGATCAATCTGTAGCCTTCCATATCTAACCCTTATACTTTCCAGCCTATGGAAATCACAATTCCAGTCTAAACTACTAAATTTTTATGAGGTCAACTTTTTCAGGTTTCACATATAATGAGATTATAAGACTCTTGTCCTTTTTGCCTGACTTATTTCACTTAACCTAATGGTTTTCAGGTCCATGCATGCTGCAGCAAATGAAAGGATTTTATTCTTTTTTTTTTTTTTGGCCAAGGAGTATTCCATTATGTAAATGTACTTCATTGTATTCAGGTATAAATTGATGGACACTTAGATTATTTCTCTTTCAACTACTGTCAGTAACTGCCATAAACATGAGAGTACAGAGGTCCCTTCAACATTCTGAATTCATTTCCTTTGGATATATGCTCAGCAGTGATTGCTGTATTATATGGTGATTTTTTGGGGGGAGGGTTGTCTGATAATAGTTTTGTATTTTCTTTGTTTGTAAAGGACACCTTTACCATGTTGCATTTGTGTGTGTGTGTGTGTGTGTGTGTGTGTGAGAGAGAGAGAGAGAGAGAGAGAGAGAGAGAGAGAGAATTTTTTAATATTTATTTTTAGTTTTCGGTGGGCACAACATCTTTATTTTATTTTTATGTGGTGCTGAGGATTGAACCCAGTGCCCCGTCCATGCCATGCGGGCGTGCTACCACTTGAGCCACATCCCCAGCCCAATGTTGTATATTTTTAATTTGCAGATTTTTCCTTCAGTTCTATGAAAATCTTATGGCACTCACTTCTGGTCTACATGTTTCCTGTTGGGAAGTTAACTGTCAGATGAATTAGGACACCTTATGTGTTCTTTGTGTCTTTATTCTTGATTCCTTGAGACTCTTTATCTTTCATCTTTGAAAGCTGTATTATAATATGGAATGACAAGAGCTCAAGCATCCAGATCCAATTTGGGTGCCCATTTAAACTTTCAAGCCCAAGCAGAGACTTAAATCTCTCCATAGTGTGCTCTCTGGGGCTTTGAGAAGGAGTGAGGAGTGTGGTCCTGTGGCAAACAGTTCTGCAATGCTATGTCACACACTAGGCCAGAGCCTGCCAAGGCAACACAGCTCTGGGGAGGGACCAAGGACCTCAATGCCATGAGCTGCCTATTGTTGAGGTGGACTCATGGCCCAAGACTCCAGCAACCAGCCACAGGCTCTTCTTGAGTGTGTCCCACAGTACACAGGACATGCTCTCTCTATGAGTTCTGTCCTACATCTGAGGCCTCTATTTCCTACTGAGTACCGAGTATCATCATAATGTGCTTGGCATTGTTCTCTAAGACAAAATTCTATATTTGTTCTTGTGTCCTGCTCCTTAGACAGCAAAGTATTGATTTCCGTCTGCCAAGACAGATTGGAAGAGTGAGGGTGGAGATAGTCTCTTAGATGTCCAAATAAACATAGTTCCAGAGTCTCAATCTGAGGTTATTGGCACAGGACCAAGGGTTGTTGGGCTCTACTGGGCACCTGCCTAGTTCTATGTTTCAAGTCTAAGGCCTTGATTTAATTACCTTTCCATTCCCCAAGAAAGATGCATATTTCTTCATGCTGGGATGCTTCGATTAACGGAAAGGATAACTCTTATTTGCCTCTCTCATTCAATGTGTCTTTTCTTTTTCTTATCATAAAAGCAGGCAATCATTTCTTACTCTTCTTTTCATACACCTGGTTTATTATCTCTTATCAAACTGTTTGGTATCTGAAAAACTGTTTACATGGTGTTTGAGTAGAGATCACAGAACTCTGGCCTTCCTGCCAATGACATAAAAATTCTGATGTCTAAATCTAGAAAGGAGAATTGAAACTTTGCAATAATCCATAAATTCCCCTATGATATGTTTGATTCCTGTGCCCATATACATACTAAACCAGTACGAAATATTTCTGAGTATACATCTACAAACATTCAATTCAACTGAGAAAAGTAGGGCCTCATTCTTGCCTGTCCTTTGAAAAGTGCTGCAAACAGAGTGTGTGTGCTAATTTATCTGTAATCCTAAAAAACCTGTAAATTAGAGAAATGAAAGTATGAATTAACTTTAAGTTTAAATGGTCTACAAAAAATATCTTCTGAAGTAAGAGAGTTTAGAAGGGAAAGGACAATATCAGAGATTTACAGGACAGGAATAAATGAAGCCTATCATCCAGTGCTACCCCTGAATCCACAGACTCAGAAAAGGATCTTAGTCCTCTCTGGACAATTTACCTCTTATTCCTCCAGGGATAAGACACTACTTCCTGGAACTTTCCATTCTCTTAGATAATGAATAATACACTGACCATACCTGAGCAGATGACTCCTGCATCACTATAGTGCCTACAGTTGTTCTTTCCCAAGCCTATGGCAGGGCAATTCCACAAGTAGTCCTCCTCTCCTGTGCACTTCAGCTTTGTCAGCCAGATGGGTCCAGATCCCTCTCCAAATTGTGCATAGAACAAGGCATTGAAGGCCATTCCACAGCCCAGCTGTCTGCACACCACATGAGCATCTTTCAGATCCCAGCTGTTATCACAGACAGTGCCCCAGGAATGCTGGTGAAGGATCTCCACTCTGCCTGCACAGCGACTGCCACCATCCACCAGGCGAAGCTGTGGGCTCTCTAAGAGAAAGAATAATGTCAATGGTAGTATTTAAAAAGAGAATGGGAAGGGTTCTCTTGTCATGTGGTACTGCCTTCCCAACCAAGCAATGGGCAGCATGTACTTTCAGAATGTAGAACTTACTGAGTAAGACATGGAATCATTCATTATAGTAGACAGCAAGTAAGTCTGAGTTTCTAACATAACCTGAAAAATTAATTGTGAAAAATAAGAAATGAAATCAAATACAACATAATCAAATGAGTAGTCTCAGGTAGAAGTTATTATATAGATCTGATCAGAGTAAAACTTGTTCTGCATATGATGAGACAGAAGAATTTGAGAAATGCCAAGATTCCTAATCTGAGTAGCTGAAAGTGTCTTATCTGAATGAATTCTAAGAGTTAGTGTAATGTGCCAGTATCTGAATTGGTTTCTTATAAAGCACATACACATGACTATCCATGAGATCATCAGAAGTCTCAGTTGACAGCCATGAATCCAGGGGAAAAAATGAAACTATACAGGTATTAAGACTGAAAAGTGAATGGATCATAAGACAAACCATAGCTATGGTAATATATTTCACTATTTCTATTATGGATACTAAATTTTAAATTTTTGTTCACTTTAGGTAGATTGGGCAACCTCCCTGAACAGATGATATCAGATATTGACATTGCTCAAATGTCACTAGGAATCATAGAATGTTACTTATTCCCCCAATGTATCCAATCTGCGCTTGGATTTTCTGCCAGGAGTTCGTGATGAGGAGACAAATAGCAGAATAGAAGTACACTTTTGTTATGATTCTGTGAGTGACAAGAGTCAGAGAACACAGGGGAGACTGTATTTTGAGAAGAGAAAGAGGGAAAAAAACTGGGAATCAATGAAAAAATGACGAAAAATGTTGACAAAATGGAGAAGCCTTAAGGCAGCCCAGAGAAAAATACAAAGCAATTTTCAACTTCAACTCCAGCTGTCTTACCTGTGGGAGAAACACAGGGTTCTCACAAGTTTTAGATCAAATTTGGGGAGTTGTTCTGAGATGGACACCTTCCATATAACAAGACAGATTTGGAGAAGGAATTTATCACATTGCTCAGCAAGGTCTCAGAGTGCTAGAACCAGGGGCCATCTTGAGAAGGGTACTATTGTAGGGGCAAAACTGTGCTGCGATTATAAAATATAGATTCATTATAATACATGGGTCCTTTGGTCACCCCTCCACAGTGACTGGATGGAAGATGTGAGCACTTACAGTCTCAGATAGGAAAACTTACTTCCACAAACATACTGAGATGGCCGCAGATAAGGAACTAGAAGCCTCATTGATATGTGGGCCTTCTCTATGTGAAGAAGAGTGATTCCAGTCTCAGGTGGCTGCACAGAGAGGCTAGGTTTGAAAGCTCAGAGATCACATCTGGTGATTCACCCCATTCCTGTGCCCTATCTCCTGGGTGGAGTTCAGTAGTTTGATTGCTTACACCATTTTTCATAGGAATTCCAGAGATTCACCATGGTGTGATTTGGCTAGACTCTGAGGGCTCAAGGTCCCTGGAGCAAGTGTGTGCCCACCAGTTGGGTCCACAAATTACTGAAGGAAGGGCTTGGGGTAACTTTGACTTTTACTATGCCCCTACTCTTTCAAACGGAACACCTCCAGCATGATAATGGCCTGCCCCATCAATATTCCTTAACCTCCATTGCAGGAAATGTAGAGCAGAGTGTAGGCAGCATATCACACCATAACCTAGCTCTTTTTTTTTTTGGTACCAGGGTTTGAACTCAGGGGCCCTTGGCTGCTGAGCCACATCTCCAGCCTTATTTTGTATTTTATATAGAGACAGGGTCTCATTGAGTTGATTAGTGCCTCACCTGGCTGTTGCTGAGGCTGGTTTTGGACTAGCAATTCTCCTGTCTCATCCTCCTGAGTTGCTAGGATTACAGGTGTGCACCACCACACCTGCTCCAAGCTCATTTTAATGAGAATTCAAAGGAGCTACATTTGGCTTCTTTTTTAGCCTTGGGACAGTTGGTGGATTCAAATGTTAAATGACCATGAAAGAGGTGTCTAAAAGACCAGGAAAGAGGTGTCTGTATGCAAGTATTTTGTCTGGGAATATTTTTGACACATTTTTTATTTTTTAATATCTACATCATTATATTTTCCTTACTAGTATATATTTAATGAATTTTAAAATTCTTTAAATAATTTTTCTCTTTCTTTCTCATCTTTTTTATATAAAATAGTTTTCTTGTTATTTTTTCTTCTTCTTATCTTCTCTATGAGTTTTCTTCTGCAATTTTCCTTTTTGAATTATTTTTCTTTTATTAATTTACTTTCTTGTTCATTCTAGATTTATTCTTTCCCTTATCTATTTTTATTGCTTATTTAGTTGTTAATGAGTTTGATTATTACTATATTTTATAGTATTTTTATAGCTGATTTGTGTTTCTGTGGTAGTTACTGCTATTATTTATTATTTTCTTTCTGAATTATGATTGTGATGAAGTCAAGAACATTGAACAGTTTGGGTGTGCTGTGCCACTGAGCTATACCTCTAACCACTTGAATGAGGTTGTCCCTTAATGTAACCATGACCTAGCCCTGATAAACCTTAAGGTGTTATGGTTTGGATGTGAGGTGCCCCCCAAAACTCCTGATGAGACAATACAAGAAGTTTGAGAGGAGAAATGTTTGGGTTAAGAGAGTTAAGACTCTCACAAGTCTAACTCAGCTGGTGAATTAAGCTTCTGATGGGATTAATTGAGAGGTAATACTATTCTTATCTTTGAATTACAGAAGAGACTAGGGAGTTGGGTGTACTTGAAGGGGGAAGATTATTATGGGACATGATTTCATTTAATCAGGGTAAAAAGAACATGTACAATCACAAGGAGAGTGGAAACCTGAAAAACTGATAAAGGAAAACATTTAGAATCTGCATGAGGATGAAATATCTGGAAAACATGCATCATGAATATGTATCATAAGGAGAAGCAGCAACAGTCAGAGAAGTGAAGAATGCCATCAAGATCTCAAGCTGGACAGTTAGTGATGGTCAAAATTGTGGCTATACATGGATATGGGTGTGAGGGAGCATTGAGCCTGGTACTGCAGCCTTCCTGGATGAGGGGGAATGACCAGGCTGGAGAGTGGCACCAACAGAAGTGGTGGCTGGTGTCACCTCATGGGGCAAATTTCATGTTGCTGGACATTAAGAAAAAGCAAAGAAATTGTTGAAAATGACAAGGTGCAGCATAAATATTCTCTGATTTATCCAGAAAAAGATTGCATGTTTAAAAGGAAATGCAGAGCCTCCAACTAATAAGGAAATCATTGTTTTTAGAGGGTATCCAGGTTTTTTTTATCAGAGCATGAATCTGAAGAGCACATTACAGTTCTTAGGAACTTAGAAGATATTAGGCTCCAATTTTCTTCAGGCCCCATTAATGTTTCCTGGGAGAGGAATGAAGTGGGCACATTAGTTTGTAGTAGTATCCATATACAGCCTTAGAGGAACAGTATCAACCTAGATCACTGGCACTGTAAGGAGATCAACTTAAGAGGAAAATGAGGGGAGACCAGGTCACAACTCAAGGTCACAATGCTTTTTTTACCTCAGTATTTAAACTGAGCAAATGCTCTACTTTCTTCCTGCATTGCACCTCTACTCCTCCTTTATTTCTCAACCTAAATATGGTTTGTCTCTTCCTCAATGCACATATTTGTATAGCACCTAAAATGCCTTCGTGACACTAAACTTCATGCATGGTGTGTGTCATCAGGCCGGAGTGAAAACTCCATGAGAGCAGCGATGGTAATTTCTTCATGTGTCTGTTTTCCTGCCTGAAAGTAAGTTTCTACCTACAAATCACCCAATTACTTATCATCAACAAACTAATCTGAGAGGTTGTCTGACTGCTGTAGTGGATTCCAGAATAAACAGCCCATTGTATTGAATTCCCCAAGTTGCCACTCACTTAATTGAAAGTGTGAGAAAGATGAAGTGCTTACTCCAAACCTCATTTTCCTCATCTGAAATAAATGATCACCATAATGCCTACCAAGCCTTTAATGTGATTATTAAGCTTCATTATGTGTGGTGATAGTGGGGAACGAAGTGATAACTCATAGCAAACAATGTATATTACTGAGGTTCAATCATTCACCATCTCACTAAGGAAATACAGAGTAATTAATACAATGTAAGACTGCATTAGCTAATTGCTAAGAATGTTCATCAGAGTGTAACTTTATGCTCCCATATGCTAAGTTCGCTATCTGGTACTTTTCACATAAATCGCTATCTTTGCTGGTTTTCTCACATCTGCCTTGAAACAGGATTGCAACAGGTGGGTCAAGTAATCTTTAACCAGGATTCATGTTGTAGACTTATTTCAAATCATCCATTATTTTTAAATATATGAACCTTTCCTGACAACAACCTACAGGTATAGGACAGACCCATAGAAGTAGACAGTAGGTCACCTGTACATGTGATATGAGCTTCCTCCTTTGGTGAGCAAGATTGATGTTTCCAGGGGTCAGAAGGACACTGCCAGAGAGAGGTGTCAGTTTTTCGACAGTGAATTCCATCCACCCAGCGGGGTCTAGAACCTTCCCTCGAAGGTACCAAGAAATCCAGAGTCCCAGTATCCCCACAGCCAAGCTGTCTGCAGATCACGGACAAGGTCACAGGTTCCATGGGGCTGTGGCATATGCTGCCCCAGGTGTTGTTGTAGAAAATCTCCAGCCACCCAGCACACTCCTGGTTCTCGCTCACCAGCCTGAGAGCCAGGAAGTCTAAAAGCAAGAGGAGGAAAACAGGGGTCAGGGAGTACTCAACTCTAACTGCTGTTTTTTTTTTCTTTATTCCTAAGTAGTGAGTGTTCACTGCTGATTCTGCTGAAGAAATGTCCAATAGGTGGAAGACTGCAAATTTTGTCCCTTTAACTTGTTTTGCTAACTTGTACCTCTCTTTCTGTTTCTACAACAATGTAATATAAGCAAATGGACAGGAGGAACACTGACCTGGGGGCTCTGTGGAAAAGAAACTTTATTTACTACCTGACAAACCATCTGACAGATCCTAGAAAAGGAGGCTGAACAGAGCGGACAGGCTGTCCACTGCCTGGACAGGCTGGACAGACTGTCCACTGCCTGATCTTGGGAGTGTGTGGATATTTTACCTCATTGCCAAAGTGCTTTTAAGACACAATTAAGAAAAGATCCTTTTGTGGATTATTCTGGATCAGCATGGATTAGTAGCTGAGTGCAATCTAATCATATCCCAGAAGTCTATCATCAAAATCAGATGATTCTTTTACCCCTCATCAGAGGGAGATGTGAATATGAAAAGATGATCAGAGTATTGCCCTGTTGTCATTTTGAAGAAAAAAGAAGCCATGAGACAAGGAATTCAGTCAAATGCTAGAATCTTCAAAAGGAAGGAAATGAGTCTTCCCAGAGCTTCAGCTGTTACAACCTGCTCACATGTTGTTTATAGCCCATATACACCTTGTTAAAAATTCTAATCTACACACCATAGGATGACATATATGTGTTGTTTTGAGTCATTCAGTCTATGGTAACTTGTTACAGCAGAAATAGAAATCTAATTCAGTGGGTCAGGATGTTGCACCCACAGGTCACAGAAGAGTGATGACTACTTTTAATGGACACTGTAGAGAATGACTGTGTCAGGGGACAGTGCTGGGAAGGAAGGAGCAGAAGCTCAGATGCTGCAGCAGAAAACAGAAATACCTCATGTTCTCTTTTGGAAGGACAAAAATTGTCCTTCCCCTCTGCCCTGTCCCAACCCCTGTACAATGCTCAGACAATATCCTGCACACCCTCCAAGACCTCCCAGCCTGTGCACATACCTGAGCAGATGACCCCTGCATCCTTCTTGTGACTGCAGTTGTGCTTCCCCCAGCCCTGGGAAGGGCACTGCCACACATGGGCCTCCTCTCCTGTACAGTTCACCTCATCCAGCAAGATGGGCCCTGATCCCTCTCCAAAGTGAGCAGAGATGGTGGCCTCCAAGGCCACACCACAGCCCAGCTGTCTGCACACCACATGGGCATCACTCAGGTCCCAGCTGTCATCACAGATGGAGCCCCAGGAGCCCTGCTGCAGAATCTCCACTCTCCCTGCGCAGTGACTGCCCCCATCCACCAGGCGGAGCTGTCTGCTGTCTGAGGAGAGACAGGGTCATGTCAGTGGGCAGTTACACAGGGAATGGGAAGGTTCTGGTGCTGGGGGTCTTGCTCACCTGAGCAGTTGGCAGTGTGGCCCTCTGAGGCTGCAGAGCCTGCTGGGTCTGACCAGGAGTCATTGCACTGGGGTAGCATCTGGGTCTGGCTTCCTACCAAATGGGGTTAGAAAGCAGAAAATTGATTTAAACTTGACACTCATCCAGTGATGAAATCTGAAAACTATAGCCCACAATAAGTAATTTCCTATCTTCTGTTCAAGGATTCTGCTTCTGCTTCTAACACACACTTTTCTCTTAGTTAAATGAAGTGTAAATCTGCTACAGTCCCAGGAATGACATTAGCAAAGTGTGAATACAGCAGCGCTGTTGGAAAGTATTTCATAGTTCCCAGGGAAGCAAGACTTAGGAGTCAAGTTCAGAGAAAAGTAAAAATTAGAATCAGTGATTTTTCCCTGGAGGCATTTGACCATTCAATGGTAGTAGGTGGGACTCTGAAAATCTCAGCATGTTTGCCAGTTTTTTCAATTCTTTTTGAATAAGGTGATCTACCTGAAATAAAGTGAACTGAAGAAGTTAAATAAAATCTTTTCTGAAGTTTTTGTAGGATAGATTCTTTTTCAAATACGATGTTTGTCAAAAGAAAAGAAAAACAAACAACCGCACATATTAAAGAGTTTATGAATAAAATGAACAAAGTAGAAAAAAAGAAAACATATTCAGAGAGCAGTATTGGTGAATTACCTTATAGGTAATTCAAATAGGCATGAATAAATAAATGACAATATGGGCATATTGTTAGAGAAATGATAACAAAAATCAAATAAATGACTGAGAGTCAATAAAATTTAAAAGAACCAATAAAAAGTCGGTAGCTAAAAATAAGAAACCAGAGGATGAGTCTAACAACACTGTAGGTTAACACAAAATGGAAAATAAGTGGAAAAATACAGCGTGAAGAACAGAAAGACAAACACATAAGGAATATAATAGGATTCTAAGAGCAATGGTGAGAGAAACTACCATTCCTAAATACTCTTCAAGTTTTAGGTATTAAAGCCATAGTTGATCACACAAAAATACAAATTAGAAAATAAACAAAGTGAGATATTTAACACAATTTTAGTTTTTGAAAATACCCACAAAATCTGTGTCAAGGTCCATTGACCTGTACAGTCCATTCCTCCTGCCCTCCAATCTGGGCTGACAGTGGTGAGTTGTCTATAACAACAGAAAATGGTGAAGCCAGCACAGCTTGACTTGAGAACCTTGCTACAAAAGTCCTGCCTCCTCCTCTTGACTTAGTAGGATGTTTGTTTAATGGGAAATCTACTCTGTAGAAACTATCAAGTGGGAGAGAGCATTTGCAGGTTGTTCTGTCAGCAGCCCCAGGTGAACTTCAAGCTACCAGCCATGTGAATGAACTGTCCTGGATTCCCAGCTTGGTCAAGTCTACAATCTGAGCTGCAGATGAGATCCAAGTGTAACCTCATGAGAGACAAGAGGCAACTGCCAAGAATCCTTGCTAAATTTATGAATCTGGAAACTATGGGCAAAATAAAAAATATTTTTATTTGTTTTGCTATTTGTGTGTGGGGGGGGATTGGGTGGGAATGATGCATTAAAAAGCAATAGCAGCCAGGACAATTACATTTACTGTGAAACAGCAATCATATGTTTCCATGTTTATTGTGGCACTATTCACAATTGCTACCATATGGAATCAGGTGCAAAATGAAAGAGAAATTCATAAAGAAAATGTGATGTAAATACAGCCATAAAAAATAATGGAGTTCTACTTTTTGCATCAAATGGATGAAATTGTAGGACATCATGTTAAGTTCATTTACCCAGACACAGAAAGACAAGTACCACATGTTCTTCATCATACATAGAAGACAAGAGAGTTAATTTATGGAATTTGGCAATGACATTGTGGTTATTTTAAAAAATCTTGAAAATATTAGAAAGTTAAAGGAACATATTATCTTATCCACCTAATCTTAATAGTCACTCAGAAATATTTTTTATATTCAGGGATAAATATGGCAGAAGGAGGCAAGAATATAGAAAAATAATAGCATTGAGGAATCTCGGTCAGGTTTACCTGGGAATTTTACCTTATCCTTGAAGCTTATTCAGAATTCTCAAATTATCAAAAAAGTAAAAATAAATGATAGAGAAAAAAGGAAAACAAAACCACAAATAACCGAATGTGAAAACTAATTGTTATGGTTTAGATACTGGGTGTCCCCAAAAGCGAATGCATGAGACAATGTAAGAAAGTTTAAAAGTGAGATTATGTTATGAGAGCCTTAACCCAATCAGCACATTAATCCTCTGATAGGATTCACTGGGAGGTAATTGTAGGCAGGTAGGCTGTGGTTTGATGAGGTAGGTGCCTGGGTGTGTATCTTTGGGTTTATATGTTGTCCTTGTTGAGCAGAGTTCTCCCTATTTCTGCTTCTTGGTGGCCATCTGCTGACCTGCTTTCTCCTGCTACACTCTTCCACCATGATATCCTGCCTTACCTTGAGGACAAAGGAATACAGTAGGCTATCTAAGGACTGAGACCTCTGAAACTGTGAACATCAATATAAACTTTACTTCCTAAAATTGTTCTTGTCAGACCTTTTTGTCACAGAAGCTAAAAGCTATCTAAAACATAGCAGAATTAATTACTAGGACATTTCATTAAAAGAAACATGAGTAGTATCAAAAACATAAAACACCAAGAGTATAACTACTAAAAATTATCTATAATCACTGAGAGAAATTAGAGATATACATTGTAAGTCAAGTAGCTCCATTTTGATGTTTAGGTCAAATCCAAACTCAATTTAATATCACCATGATTTTATCGTATTAGATGTATCAACAAAGTGAAATCAAACCCCTATCTCTCACCATGCACAAAGCTCAACTCAACATGGATCAAGGACTTAGGAATACAACCAGAGACCATGCTTCTAATAAAAGAAAAAGTAGTCCCTCATCTCCATCATGTGGGATTAGGCCCCAACTTCCTTAGTAAGACTCCTTTGCCTCAAGAATAAAAAAAAAAGAATTAATAAATGGGATGGACTCAAACTAAAAAGTTTCTTCTCAGAAAAAAAAATCTGTGAGGCGAATAGAGAGCCTACATTTGGGGAGCAAGTTTTTACTCCTCACACATCAGATAGAGCACTAATCTCTAGGGTGAATAAAGAACTCAAAAATCTAAACACCAAAAAAACACACAAAACAAACAAACTAACAAACAAATAACCCAATCAACAAATGGCCAACATCCTGAACACACACTTCTCAGAAGATATACAATCAATCAACAAATATATAAAAAGATGTTCATTATCACTAGCAATTAGAGAAATGCAAATCAAAACCACTCTAAGACTTCATCTCAATCCAATTGGAATGGCAGCGATTATAAAGACAAACAACAATAAGTGTTGGCAAGGATTTGGGAAAAAAAGGTACACTCATACACTGCTGGTTGGGCTGCAAACTCGTGCAGTAAATATGGAAAGCAGTATGGAGACTTCTTGGAAAATTGAGAATGGAACCACCATTTGGTACTGGAGATTCACCTCTGTACCACAGACCAGCTGATGGCAATCTACATTGGCTTTGGCCATATTTCAGTGGGAGGCATAGAGTGTTCTCCAGCCTCCAGAGGTCTTCACATCCACTTGACCCAGCTATCCCTCACCTTGTTCTTTACCCAGTGGACTTAAAAACAGCATACTCAGGGACACAGCCATGGCAATGTTTGTAGCAGCACAATTCACAAAAGCTAAACTGTGGAGCCAACGTAGATGCCCTTCAATAGATGAATGAATAAAAAAATGTGGCATATATACACAATGGAATATTACTCAGCAATAAAAGAGAATAAAATCATGGCATTTGCAGGTAAATGGATGGAGTTAGAGAAGATAATGCTAAGTGAAGTTAGCCAAATCCAAAAAAAACAAATGCCAAATGTTTTCTTTGATATAAGGAGGTTGATTCATAGTGGAATAGGTGGAGGGAGCATGGGAGGAATAGATGAACTCTAGATTGGGCAGAGGAGTTGGAGGGGAAGAGAGGGGACATGGGGTTAGAAATTATGGTGGAATGTGATGATCATGATTATCCAAAGTGCATGTATGAAGACACAAATTGGTGTGAATATACTTTGTATACAGCCAGAGATATGAAAACTTGTGCTCTGTATGCGTAATAAGAATTGCAATGCATTCTGCTGTCACATATAAGTAAAAGATAAATAAATTATTTATAAAATCAATATAAATAAAAAATAAATATATGAAGTTGTTTATAATATTTATGTGAAATGCATAAGACCAAGTATGATCAATGCACTGGGCAGGAAAAACAACACAATTAGAGCAGTTACTTTAAAGAAATCTTTAAAAAAGTTAATCAGACATGCTATAAAGTTATGATAATTAAGAAAATATGCATGGCTCCAATCCTAGAAAATGACAGAACAAAATGAAATAGAGTATAGAGCAGGAATCAGAAATATCTACACCCTGTACATTTCAAAGGTGACACAGCAATGGGGAAAAGCCTTTTCAGTAATGATTCTGAGTCAATTGGATGTCCAAACAATAATATGAAACATTTTTTAAAATCACACACACTATATATAATACCGATCCCAGAAAGATTGTGAAATTATATATAAAATAAAAACTAAACATGTATAAGAAACTATTGGAGAACATTTTTATAATCTATGGTAGTAAAGTTATATTTAAAAGAACATTAGAGACAAGTACACTGGTGCACGCCTATAATCCCAGTGGTTTGGGAGGTTGAGACAGGAGGACTGCAAGTTCAAAGCCAGCCTTAGCAATGATGAGGCACTAAACAACTCAGTAAGACCCTGTCTCTAAATAAAATACAAAACAGGGCTGGGGATGTGGCCCCGTGATCCAGTGCTTCTGAGGTCAATCCCCAGTACCAAAAAAAAAAAAAAAAAAAAAAAAAAGACTTTAGGACACTCTGTGTATAGGAAATATGTATACACTGTGCTTCATCAAGAAGAAGAATTTGATCCCTGAATGAAGACAATATAGGAAAAATAAAAAGAAAGGATTTAAAAATGTATATGAATATACCCATATTGCACCAAACAATATTGGCATGGTAATATGTAGGATCATTATTTCAGAACTCAACATGTGCAAGTACTCAAATCTCCATATCATGTGACTGAATCAATACATGATCCTGTGGTTATTTAGGAGAAAACTCTATAGAAATAAAAATAAATGAGGCTGAGCTAAAAATAAAAGCATAGTTCATTATAAATGTTATGTTGAGTCAAAGTAGACACAACAAGGAACATGGTACATGATTTTACATAAAGCTCAAAATCTGAAAAAAAATTCTTTGGCAGCAAAAGTTAGAGTGGTCTTCTTTGGAGGGGAGGAGGGGACAGTGACTGGAGGGATGTGCAGGTGACATCTGGGAGCTGCTGATGCTCCCTGACAGTCCAGGGTGAGGAACATGACAGAGCTGTCATTCATTGTTATATAGTGTTATCCATTAATTTCAATAAATTATAATGCCTATTTAAAACCAATCCTCTTAATATTTCTTGAAAGGGCTGAAAGATGAATGATAATAAGAATCCTAATTCACCACAAAATGTCTAATTTTTGAAGTCAGCTCTCCACACTGTCTCCTCTTAGAGACATGTCACTCAAGTACCAGTCAGCCCTGTCCTTTCTTACCTGAGCAGACCACAGAGGCCGTGTTTCCATTGGCACAGGCAGGAACACCCAGGGCAGTCACAGGGCAATTCCACAAGAAGGACTCAGACCCTGAGCAGTGGAATCGGTCTCTCCAGATCTCATCTCCTCCTTCCACAAAGTATGCTCCCTTTGGGGTGGAGATGGCAACCCCACAGCCCAGCTGACGGCAAACTACATTGGCATTGGCCATATTCCAGTGGGAGGCACAGAGAGTTTTCCAGCCTCCAGAGGTCTTCATCTCCACTTGACCCTCACACTGAGAGCTGCCATTTTTCATGAGCCGAACATCTGTATATCCTGGCAGAAGACAGGGTTTAGCAATATTCCACATTTTCTTATGCCCATAGAGTGTTTTGGGAAGTTAAAGTCCTATTGTGAGTCTCACCTGAGCAGACAACTTGCACAGCTCCTTTGTGGGGGCAGTTGCCTGCAGGACAGGGCACTCTGGGGCAGAACCAGAGGCCAGGCTCCTGCCCCTTACACTGAAATTCTTCAGCCCAGATCTGTTCACTGTCTTCTCTGAAGGGCAGGTTCCCCAGGACAGATGCAGCCTTGCCACAACCCATCTCTGCACAGATGACCTGGGCTGTGGCTAATGTGAAATTCCCATCAGATACTGGAATCCACTCTCCTCCAGAATTCACTTCCACTCGCCCAGAGCAAGATCCCTGTCCTCCAACCAGATGCACAAATCCTATGGGAGAAAAAACAAACAACAACAAATACCATCGAATAGAAGGAGTAAGCTACAATTCACAGGTAATGCTGTGAAATCTTTTCATTTTCCAGGGTTGTAGTGTGGGGTGTGGATTCAATATGTGGTGCCAGAATATGAATTCAATGAGCAAGTGTCTGAAGATAAATTTTGGAGAAAGAATTTGTAGTGTGCTTTCTAAATTGCTGTTTCATGATATGAATGTACACACTGTCCCATGAACATACCTGTACATACATGAATATGTGTGTTTCCAAGAAATGTGTGTATATATAGATATAGATCGTGTAAAAATGGATTTTTCTTTTATAGGAACATATTATTCTTTATATTATAAAGGTATCTGTAGTTTTTTTTTTACTTTCTTTGATACTGTAATCTCCTTTTTCTTTGTATAGGATCTGTATCTATTCTCTGAATGTGAACCCACTATAGAAAAAGATTAGGATTAATTTTTTACTATTTTAAGCCCTGAAACTTCCAATTCACAGATTTACAGATAATAATTCCAACTAAGATACCATTTGTTAAGGAATGAAAAATTCCAATGTGTCCAAAACTGACATTTGATATTTATTTTCAATTTAGAGATGAGAAAAGAGACCACTAAATAGGTGAGATAGAAACCTGGTTATTGTGACAAAAATAATCAGGATTCTTTATATCATCCTTCCCATTAAAGAAGACTGAAATGCCATTTAAACTATGAACAGACTTTATCCAGAGATTTGAGCATTTTTTGTTTATGTTTTTTATGGAATTATTTTGTTTCTAATAAACAGAGTTTGAAGAATCCATTATGCATCTATTGAAGCTAATCAGGAAGTAATTTTGAGTATGTGTTCAGACCTTTGGGGAGGCATCTAGTTACAGATGTGAAATTATAATATAATAGTAATATTTTGTAGTGAAGAAATTCAGCAAGGAATCTTTCTCAAGAGAATAGCATGTTCATTAATTTCATTAATTTTCCCCCTAAGTAAACAATCAAACATCAAAAACATTAATCTACCTTTTTAAAATTGTTACTTAAAATTGGAATACCCCCTTTTCTCTCTGAAACTGATGCATTAACGTGAGGTGTGGATTCCTGAAGTGTTACTGCAATGGTAATTTTAATTTATTTTATTATTATAGTTGAGTAATATAGTGTACCTTACTTATAGAGTCAAAATGCAGATACACAAATTTCAAACTGAAATCACTAATCTTTAGAAGGTTATGTTTTAAAGAATATGAGACCTGCAGGCACATCATAAAATCAGCCACAAACACAGTTATCCAGTGACAGGAAAACTAAAGATCAGCCTCTAGAACAGAAACCTGGCTGGTTGTAGTCTCTGCCTGTGGAGGCAGCCAGGTCCTCTTCTCTGTAAATACTGGTTTCCACTCAGTCACTTTCAAATTGAAGTTCAAAATAAGTACCACCAGGTTTGCATGACTGATTGTAGTTTCAGCTCAGATAAAAACACAAACATGCCTGCAGTGGCACTAGTCCACTTTATTTTTTTTAATTAACTGTATTTTGTCCATTTCTAGTATCCAAGTGTTAGAATGTCTCAGTTGAGGTAGAATAACATTACATTCAAGCTCTATCTAAGACAATCCACTGGGGTATCTGAGCACAGTGTCTGTCCTCTGACTGAAATGTTAGGAGGGTATCTTTGTTTTAGGCACTGAATTCTATTAAATTATCAAATCTTTGCAAGAAATTTTTGTATAAATTCCATTAATAAAATTGGAAGCATTTCAGATAAAGAGATAGATCTCTCATGTAGATTTCACCTTTACTCTTCTACTCTGCACAGACCAGAGGGACCTAATCCAGTTATAGCCTGAGAGAATGAAGAATAAAATTCATATAGTACATGTACTCAGAGCATCAACTGAACATCTGTCATTGTGCTGAAAAGAGATCCTGAGGTGTTCAGAAAGCAGTATTATTGAAAGTCAGCAATATATTTATTTATCTTTAAAAATGCATTAAAGAAGCAGTATGGAGATGCCTTGGAAATCTGGGAATGCAACCATCACTTGACCCAGCTATCCCTCTCCTTGGACTATACTCAAAGGACTTAAAAACAGCATACTACTTAGACACAGCCACATCAATATTTATAGAAGCACAATTCACAATAGCTAAACTGTGGAGCCAACCTAGATGTCCAACAGCAAATGGATAAAAAAAAATGTGGCATATATATACAATGGAATTTTATTCAGCAATAAAAGAGAATAAAATCATGGCATTTGCAGGTAAATGGATGGAGTTAGATAAGATAATGCTAAGTGAAGTTATCCAATACCCCCCCCCCCAAAACTATGCTGAACGTTTTCTCTGATATATGGAGGCTGACTCATAGTGGGTTAGGGAAGAATAGATGAATTCTAGGTAGGGAAGAGGGAGGGAAAGGGAGGGGGCAGGACATTAGCAAGGATGGTGGAATGTGATGGACATCATTAACCAAAGTACATGTATAAAGACACGAATTGGGTGTCAACATATTTTATATACAGAGATATGAAAAATTGTGGTATATATGTGTAATAAGAATTGTAATGCATTCACAGTCGTATATTTCAAAAAATAAAATCAATTAAATAAAAGAGAGCAATGAAGAAATAAAAATAAAAATTCATTAAAGATTTATTATGTTTTGGGCATTATATTATAAAGTAACATATACCCAAAATCCCTTGGAACAATTTTTTGAAAAAGATGTGATTTAGAAATTAGAGCCAACTACCATCAACACAGAATGTAGTTATTCTTGGGAGATCATTTACTCTGTTGCACTTAATGAAATATAAAAACAACAGCCAAAGTGTGGTTCAGAAGCAGGTATACATCATTCTATAAACCCTAATGATGGTGTATATTATTATACTCCACAGTTCTTCAGTAAATAGGAAATTCTTATATCATGGTGGTTCAGAAATCCTCATTAGTTTTATTTACAAAAATACATATCAGTTTTTGTAATATTTCAATGTTATAAAGGCATATGGAGACAAAAGTAATTTTCTTTCCTCATCTGCATTACCAAGCAGTTGAGGTAAATAGTACCACAATAAGTCAGTCCATGTTGCAAGGCTATTTATGCAGAAGACTTGTGTGAAGGTATTTTTCACTCCTTCTTTCACTTGTCTTGCTCATACAGAATATATTCTCATATAAAACAAGTTACCATATTGAACCTACCACTCAGTCTGCACAATCTATAATCTTGAAATCTTAGAAGTATGAATGTTGAGGTTGGTTCATCTGGGCCTCTAGTGTGTGGACACATAGTTGCCAGCTATTTGTTCAGAGTAGCCCTTCTTCTTGATTCATAGGGAATGAAACATATGAAGACGTGAACATTATTTAAGAGGTCTAACTTAGAATTTATTCAGAATGTCTGTTTTTACAGTCTTTTGAGATAACTGCTATGTATCTTTTCCTCAAAGTCATAAACAGCATTTATATTGGAAACTTCTAATTTGATCTTTGAGGCATAATATGAAACACACCTAATGTCTGAGGACTTTTTGAGAAATAAAACATTAAATATAATATTCAATGCTAATTCTCTTACTGATGATTCACATTACAAACAATTCAGACTCAGGTGTCTGTCTCAACTGGGAGGCTTTCATCTCCAGGTTACATTTCCCTTTTACTGTCAGTTATGCACGTAAACTCAAGCTCCCAACAATGAACATACACTGAATTTATAAAATGTGATATATATATATATATATATATATATATATATATATATATATATATATATATATATATATATATATATATGATTGCAATAAAATGATCTGATCAGGAACTGTGGATAATCTACCAAACATAAAATTAAAGAATAATAAAACAAAACCATATGAGGCAAACCAAGTCAAATAGATTTGACACACAAGGTTGGCAGAGCTCACATGGACTTCTAAAGGGAAAGTATGAGAAATGGTGACCTGCTGCTTTTAGGAACCCCCATCCCCCATGGTTCTTCCCAATCCCTACTTTTTTGTCTTTGCTCCTCAGAAATAACTTTTGCAGACAGTTGAGAAATGTGGGTCCTGGTGCACTGTTGAATCAACAGTTGAATTTACCTTTAAGAAGGTAAATTCAGGGCAAAGGCTTTAACTGACTTTCTCTGTGTTATCGGCCCACGACTATAATCAGAGAGAGTGGAATAGTGTGAATGAGCACATCAAGTGAACCCAGTGATGAACATGAGGACTGACTCCCCAAAGGAAGAAATTTCAGAAGTATGATGCTCAGCAGAACATTAAGATGAGCAAATCTGTGGAATCTGTGCAAATACAACTACAGTAATTTTATGAAGATGTTTATTAAATATATTACCCTTTTAATGGATAATTCTTTTTTCTTTAGCAAATGCACTTATTTTCTAAAACATGGGTCAATATCCAAGTTGGTAATTCTATTTTCTATAGAACTTAAAATTTCACAAAGAAGAATAAGTCAGTCCATGTTACAAGGACATATGCAGAAGACTGTTGTGAAGGTAGAAATTATGTATGAAATATGATAAAAATTATTAAGAATTATATTTTTTATGAAATAATAGCTTAGAGTGGATTGAAATTGAATACAGATACAGATTCAAACACACACACACTTACATGTGTATATGTATGTGGAATTTAGTATTTATAAAATCATTCACATACCTACATTTAATTTTAAATAATAATATTTTAAATTATTAGTCTATATAAATATTTATAATGTTAGAAAATTTAGGGATAGATATTAAATAAAAGAAAATTAGTCTCTATTTGATATTGTCCTGTATAGTCAAATATGTAGATGTCAAAAATAGTCATATAAATGGAGAAAAAAAATGATACCTGCTCTTAAAACATACCAGAGTGGATTATAAAGAAGACCCATTCTAGAGCTTTCCATTAACATAAAATTTTCAGTAGGTCCTCTAACATGACTTTTCCATATTGACTAAAGT